TATGGAGAGCGCCGACACGGTGGTGTGGCGCTTTACATTCAAAATGATTACACACACAGTTTACTTGATATCCAAACAGACTTACAGGCCGTTGCCTGTACCATGTATATCAACGACAGGAACATCGATATTTGTAGTCTTTACCTTCCTCCGGATCTGGATGACACGGATCTTCTTAGACAGCTTAACCATCTCATCAACCAGTTTCAGAATCCATTTCTTCTACTTGGTGATTTTAATGCCCACAGTCCAGAATGGTGGGATGAACAGGCATTAGATCACAGAGGGAAAATAGTCGAAGACTTCTTGGACATGAATAGATTAGTAACGTTAAACTGCAATCAGCCAACACACTTTCACTTATCACACAACACCGAATCTGCCATTGACTTGACCATTTCTTCTCCGTCCCTGGCCACTTGGTTCGAATGGTCTGTTGATAGCGACATACATGATAGTGATCACTATCCCATTTCTCTTCGATTCTGTTTTCCAGTTCCTGGAATAGGTTCGTTCGTTCCTCGGTGGAATTTGGACAGAGCGGACTGGCTCAAATTCACTGAGTTATGCGAGTTCCAACACCAAGAACGCTTTGCTCATCCGGAGGATGGAATTTCATATATAACAGAAACTCTCATATCAGCTGCACAACAATGCATTCCTCTTACGAAACCACCCACTACAGGTAAAGCTGTGCCGTGGTGGACCTCTGCTGTCCGTCAAGCCATAGCTAAAAGGAAAAGAGCTTTTCGCGCCTATCTGCGACATCGCACAGATGATGCATTGATAAGACGAAATCGGGAACGCGCAAACGCAAAGAGAGTTATTAAAACAGCAAAGCGAGACTCCTGGCAACGTTTTCTTTCGTCTTTTACTTCTTCTACTCCACTGAGTAGGATTTGGACTTTAGTTCGTCGCCTCTCCGGAAAACATTCCAGTGCAACATTCCCTATGCTCAGGCTACCGGGAACTGGGGATACGATTAGTGATCCTCAAGATGTGGTTAATTGTCTAGCAGAAACCATTGCACATACCAGTTCTAACGCAAAATACCGTCCTGATTTTCTTAACACTGCACGTCAACTTTTCGAAGTTGACCCTACTATGTTTAATTCTCAAAACAACGAAGAGTATAATGCTCCTTTCAAAATGCATGAATTCAATGATGCGATACACTCAGCCGGGAACACGTCTGTTGGACCCGACAAACTACACTACTCATTTTTTCGCCATCTTTCAGAACATTCAAGGCTTTATATTCTTCAAACATTTAATGACCTCTTCTCTGGCCACTTATTTCCAGAAGATTGGAAGAACAGTATAATTGTCGCTCTCTTGAAACCAGGAAAGGCTCGCTATGATCCTAATAGTTATCGTCCGATCGCCATGAGTAGTTGTTTGGGAAAACTGTTAGAAAGAATGGTTTCCAAGCGACTCATTTACTTCCTCGAAAAGCATAGCAAACTCTCCAAGTACCAATGCGGTTTTCGTAAACAACATTCTCCAGTAGATCATTTAGTTCGACTCGAAAGTGCTATTCGAAAAGGATATAAAAATAAGGAACACACCACAGCAATATTTCTCGATATCAAAAATGCTTTCGATATGGTTCACAAGCCAGCTTTGTTGTCCAAACTTCAAAGACTTGGCATCAAGGGCCATCTGGCACATTACTTGTTTAACTTTCTTTCTCAAAACAGGCGATTTCAAGTCAAGCACCGTTCCATTTTTTCTACTTACCACGAATTAGAAAACGGCCTCCCTCAAGGCAGTTGCCTCTCACCAACGCTATTCAACATCATGATCGACGATTTATTTGATGGCATTCCTTCCGATATTTCTTTCTCTTTATTTGCAGACGATAGCGCTATTTGGTGCACATCTAGGGACCCTGATATAGGCGTGGAGCGGCTGCAGGGTGCCCTAAATGTAATCGAACGCTGGTCCAGAACAAATGGCCTAGAATTTTCTGCACCAAAATCGGCGTTTATGATATTCACAAAAAACAATAGACTCGAACTCACGCATCATCCACAGCTCAATGATGTGCCTATCCCGCTTGTCTCGAGCTTCAAGTTTTTAGGAGTAGTTCTAGACAGGAGGCTGTCTATGACTCACCACATAAAACACATACAAGTAAAATGCAAGAAAAGACTTAATCTTTTTCGCTGTCTTACCGGTGCGGCTTCTGGTGCCGACCGATCTACGCTGCTCCGCCTATACAAAACAATAGTCTTACCAATAATAGAGTACGGGTCCGTCGTTTACGCCGGAGGAAGTCGAACGAACCTGCTCAAATTAGAGACAGTCCAAAACAACTTTATTAGATTAGCGTTAGGTGCAATGAGAACCTCACCCATCCACTCATTGCAAGTTGAGGCACACATTCTTCCACTACACATCAGAAGGATAGAACTTACACTCAGATATTACACAAAGATCAAACAACATCCAGCTCATGCCGCTTATGCATCAACATCTGTTCTGCCAAGGCTGCACTTTAGTTATCTTGGCAGATGCGAAAGACGAACGGGACTCACCATCGCCTCCAGGGTAAAAAAGTACCAGGATGACATTGGATATGTATTACCCAGCATCACACCCCTCCCCCAATTCTTCATATCCCCTTGGACGGCTCGGCCTCTTAGTACTTCTTTTCTGCTCGCAAATAAAAAACACACCTTTTCTGCAGATGAGATACAGCAAACATTTCTCGAGTACCGGGCGGCTTTTCCTCACTTCCAATTTGTTTTTACGGACGGCTCCAAGTTAAACAACACGGTCGGCGTCGGCATTTTTGCTTCCACACTTCCAGAAACAAAGTTGAGACTACAGAACGATTTAACCGTACACTATGCAGAGTTGTACGGAATATCCCATGCTCTTCAGCTTATTAAGCAACACAATATTCAAAAAGCATGTATTTGCTCTGACTCAAAGTCAGCAATATTAAGTCTTCGACGACCAGATATCACACAGCACATACACCTAAAAATACTGGATATACATCAACAACTCATCGAGAGAGAAGCCGAAATTAGATTTTTATGGGTGCCTGGACATAGTGGAATTAGTGGAAATGAGACAGCAGACCGCTTTGCCAAGCAGGCCCTAACACTGCAACACATAACTGAAACTCCATATGACTACTGTTCCATTCGTGCCTCCATTACGTACCATTGCTACAGTTACTGGCAACGCCTTTGGGACATAGACGGAGCTGGTACACAATTACATAGAATTAAGCCACTCATACGTAATTGGTCATCATCAAATCGTCTTTCCAGAAAAGAAGAAAAAGTATTAACAAGGATGCGCATCGGACACACCCATCTCACTCATAACTTTATATTTGCTCACCAACCAAGACCTACTTGCCATCAATGCAGAGTAGTATTGGACATCAAACACATCTTGCTAGATTGTAGGAAATATATCACAGAACGTCAACACATACAAGATTACTGTCGAGCACATGATATCACATTGTCATTACACGTTGTCTTAGGCGACGATCATCCTGGGTTACTTCAACTTCTCTTCTCTTTTCTCGTTCAAATAGGTTTACTCCATCGATTGTAGGCTGGTCATCTTATTTTGATTCACTCTTTCTCTCTCTACTTCTAATATAATATGAACACACACGGTGCGCAATGGCCTGTAAGGGCCGAAGCACCTACTCAACTAAATGAAATAAATGAAAATGAAGGTATAAGAAAAAATAAAACCTTCAAGTTTCAACTTTGCAAAATCAAAGTCATACCAGAGAATGAGCATGAATGAGTGTGCTAGGTATGCAGAGAGTTTGATTGGAACCACTATTCGCATGCTTCGAGACAATGCCGGGAGGTAATAGGTATCGATCGAGGCTCGACTCAAATAGGTTTTCCACGTTACAGGCGTCGCGAATCAGCAGTTGGTTAGTTATGCTGTACCGCCGAGCATCCAGGAGCTGCGGCACAGTCTAACAGGACACAGAGGGAAATGAGATTGGAGGCGAAAGCACCGAGAAATAAAAGTGCTCAGCAAAGAGTTTCGAGAAATGAAATTAGAAAACCGTGAGAGGCAGATCGAGAGTCCGAGACCACGAGCACGGAAGAGCGAGAAACATAGGCGGCGGAACGGGGAGGGCACCGGGGCACCGTGCCCCCTTTGATTTTGGCATTTAAACATTAGCCCTATGGGCGTTGCATGGAAAGAATGGGGCCAAAAGTTGGCAGTGCCCCCCCCCCCCTTAATCGAAGGTGTTCCGCCGCTACTGGCGAGAAACGAGAGCCGACAGTTTGTTTCACTTCGCTGCCGTATTTCGCTAAAGGAGCATCCCGTGGTGACACGTATCGCTGCCCGCCATTCACCGAATGTCAGTGTGTTGCCAGTTTCCCAGACAAGTGATTCCAGCCGGCCAGCACTCTGTCCGTTGAAACTGGATATCTGCTGCCGGCCAGAGTTTTAGACGAGTATTTCCCCCGAGCAGCCACTGTCCAGTGACCAGCCTCGACCTGCAGCTGAGGTTTCCCAACGGACCAGGCAGCGCCCGGACGAATCGCAGTCAGCGTGGCTTTGGTGTCTGTTTCCACGGTACCCAGGCCATAGCCGAGTCGTCTCTCCGCTGAGTGACCGCCGATCAAAGTCGGACGAAAATGGACGATTGGGATGGGGAGAGATGTCGGGCCAAATGAACCCTCCCAAGAGACACCGGCAAATGAAAGATCACCGGTTCGAATCAGTCCAGACTGAGGAGAGAAACCGGACAGGGGCTGGAATCTCTGGGGACAGCCGGGACATCCATCGGAAAAAAGCCGAGACACAACTGTGTGTTTTTCGAGCGACGTTAGCTATGACGACGGGCTGCGAGACTGATCTAGAGGGAGGCTGGTCTCTTGGCTGAAGGCAGCCACTGGCTTGTAAAATAGCGTAATGTGTAGAAGCAGCTCTAAGATCCCTCACGAGCCACGTGAACAGTGACTGAGAGCTTCACTAGCCGTTCTCAGGAGACAAACTTTGTTCAGTTCGCTGGCACCGTGGATGGCCACGGAGCCAGTCATGTATTTGGCTTTGTCCGCGAGTGACTGACTAGATAACCGATCGGGAGAGACATGTAACACAAATGGCAGCCAGGAGGTTACAGGAGTGACCCGAGCGGTCACACGATGACCCGAGAGGTCACATATGGCACCCGACCGAGAATACTGTCACCCCTCCCCCCCGGCTTTAACCACAAAAAAACTGACAGAGAAACACGACCCGACCACCCCGCAACGCAACGCAGCTGCCCCGGGACGAAACACTCACACACGACGCGTACAATGCACGTATGGCCGGACAAAGCTCGTGAGAAATTCCGAACGGTGGTTCAAAAACAGCTCGCGCTCACCAGAACGGCAGTCATGATGTTATCTACGCATCGTATCATCATGTCACGGTAAAGCCGTAGCGATTGACCTGAGCATCCTCAAACTTCTGACTCCCGAGGACCCCCGAACGACAGGTGCAGTGTATCGTAGAATGTAAGCCACGCTCGGCAGTCCACACTCCACATATGACGGCGGCCGTTACAGCGCGAGCGACAACGATACGTGCCAACAGCGAATTGACTGACGATTGATACATTACTCACGCATACATTACACAAGCTACATACGCACAGGACAAACGTCATGGGTAAAAGAGTCGCAGCCGTTTGCAGCCATTCATATATGACGACTGAGTCCACCACGATAAAGGAATGAGTAGTTGGCAGTCAGATGAACACATAAGATAATTATGGCACCTCGCTCCTTAGCGGTGGCCGCGAATGAAAATCCGTATAACTGAATATCTGGTATAAACTTGAACAGCAATAAATCCATGCATAGTGCTGGATAAAAGAGTACCCTCGTAAAACGGTACAGTAAAATAAATGATAAATTGGCTATTCAGGCTCCAGACGCCAGTCTTCAATGCACATGCACACTTGAACACTTTACATGATTCCTGACTTTGATCGATCCCCGTGCCTGACAGGAGACAAAGCGGAGTAGTCCACTGTTTCAGAGATGCGGCACCGATCAGAAACAGTCACGACTAATCGGTACCGGTCTGTGAATTCTGGCTAGGCGGTATTATATGGGGAGCCAGACCACAGAATGGCGACTGAGGCGTCACGAGCAGCCTCGGGCGAATTGTACAGACACCCACATAATATGCCCTGATGACTTGATGACTTCCACTCAACACTGACAGAGGACCAGTCACGGATGACATACGGCATCCACGGCACCCCTGCCGTCTCCATGCTCCCTCGCTGCCACCCCGTCGCCTGCCTGCATGTGTCGCTGCAGCAGCGGAGCGGACCGGTGGATGAGACGCCGATGGCACGAGCGATACGGCCAGGGAAGCCGGAGAGACACGGCCGGCAGAGGTCGGACAGAGTACGACCAGCAGAGGGCGGCACGGTGCAGCTACTCGTTCTTTTCGTGATACGCGTAATCTGCCGGAAACAGAACAGTCGTCAAGACACTAGATATTAAATGAAGACAGTATGCTATGGCTTTGGTAGCCACGGCGATCCAACTAACCATTACTACTAAATTCATACGAGCTGAACATGCAGACAAACAGAACAGAGCTGCGGAAGAGAACAGAAAAGGATAAGTACGCATCGGTGGTTGGAAAGGAGGAAGAAAGATAACACATCGGAACCATTATTGTTACGATGCAACGGTGGAGCTCAGCGCATATTTAAAACACTTAGCAATCAACAAAGCAGTTCACTTTGACATTAGCGCACCCTCCTTCAGCACTCAAAACCGCCACAGGACGTCCTTATGGTCCGTACCAGGCACCAGCATTAGGGACCCCTTACAAAATCCCACGCCTTCCCCCCCCCCACACCACCCCACCGCTCTCGCCGCACGTACCCTCGTCCTCCTCGTCCGCGTCCATGATGTCCTGGCAGCAGATGGAGTAGCAGATGAGGGTGAGGAAGCCGGCCGGCAGGCCGAACAGCAGCGCCGTCAGGATCGGGTTACCGCGCCACATCCCCTCGATCGAGCTGCGCGCCTGGTACACGGCCCGGTACACGCGCATCGGGTACGAGTCGCCCCCGCCAGCCTGCGGTACACGGTACAGGTACACGGGTCAGTACTCAGTACAGTTGTCTGGTACACGGCGCGGTACACGTGCATCGGGTACGAATCGCCGCCGCCTGCCTGCGGTACAGGGAGGTACAGGAGTCAGCACACACGGTAGTTCTGTATTCGGTACCTACATGTTGCGATACGCTCGTCAGTACACTGAGCTGTCTCGTCAATGAACCACAGTCTCTATCCGAAACAGCCAGTGACCGAGCAGCGCAGCCCTCACACCCTCCCTTTTATCGGTCTATTTAATGGACATTGGGCGGCACCCTCCAGTGGATCGTAATATCACTACATCCCTCCCTCTACAATAAATTATATCGTCAGAAACATCTCCCGAACCCTCTCCTTCCATAAGCGGCACTCCTCTCTCCCCTTCCTGAAAAGACCCTTCACCTCCCTAAACTACAACCACTCTCTATAAGCGGTGTACCTCTCTAAACAATCGCACCCCTCGCTCCCTCAGCCCCTCTGTCCCCTCACCTGCACATCTCCAGCCATCACCCTGTCCAGGAACACCATCACCGCCTGTTCAGTGAGCTGATCCGGCTCGTCGTCCGGTACATAGTGGGTATAATCGGAGGCGTTAATCACCACCAGAGAGGGCACGGCCAGCGTGCGCGCCGCCACGCCGTTCACCAGACTCGGCTGGGCCACCCAGCCGAACTGAACCTTACGGCTGCGGCGGGGGGGGGGGGAAGGTCAGGCACCGTTCGGCTGACTATCATGGCAGAGATATTGTAAACGGAGACTTCCAGTAATGGTGCGACAGCCAACTAACAGCCGGGTGGTGACATGATTCAAGTCACACCAACACCAAATATTTTCTTCAAAAAGACCAGCTGTAGACAAAAACTCCTCAACCAAATAAGCCAGCATACGTTAAGTATCATAAATGCTAATGAGCCGTGCGCGATATCTAAATCTTAGTTCCAAACGAATACCTCTTACCAGGAGTATTTGTCGGCCGTGTCGATGGCCACCGCCTCCAGCATGTCTCGGAACTTCTGCTCCACGGCCGGGATCCGCCGGACCGGGTCCTCCTCGGCTACGGCGATCACCAGCAGACGGCCGGTGCTCAGCAGCTGGCCAAAGTTACCAGCAGTTACCTGGTAATAGAGACATGGGTTATGGTTAGAGCTGGTAACAAGTCCCGGTGCTCAGCAGCTGGCCAAAGTTACCGGCAGTTACCTGCGGACACGGGAGGCGGTTAGAGGTGTCAATACGCCGTTAACCGGTTATTTACAAAGGTGGCGGCCAGACCTGTCGATACACAGACACGACAATGGATGCAGTAAGAGGCTAGGGTCGCCCCATGGCGTACAAACCAGCATAAAAGAGGCATATACGGTCATGGAACATTACTGGAGACACACCCTCTCGTCTCGCCCTCTCGTTTCTATCGTCAACCTATCACTAGTCATGTGGCACATTCTCTGTCAAACCAGATGCAGAGTCGTCTACCTGACTCACTACCCACTAACCTTCATAAACCTCGTGAACCGCTCCGTGTTGACAAACTGGTAGAGCGAGGAGTTGAGGTGCGGCTCGGACGGCGAGTGTTCGAACGGACGGAACCGGCCGTCCTTCCAGACAACCACCGACGGAGCGGATACGCTCTTATCCACCTGAAACACGCGGATGGTGCCGTTTACAAAGTTCATCTAGCCCTCAACTTCAATGTATCGTCTTACGGTATTTTCCTCGATTCTCTTCCAGGTGAAAATAATGCGATTATGTTTCATGATACCCTGGCTGCATGATTGAAAATCCGCGCCCAGCGACGGACAGCATTCCAAAACTTTGTATACACCACCATCCCTCCCTCGCCCTAATCCCCAGGCCCACAGCCCACCTTCTGAAAGACGTTCTCGTCGCAGCTGTAGAAGTAGTGGTGGGCGCGGAACTTCCCCGCCAGCTCACTATACGCCTCCCACAGCGGACCCTCGTGCTCTCCGACATAGACGAAGAACAGCACGTGCTTGGAGCTGAGCTGTCGGACCGCGGCCGGGTCGGCCAGGGGTGCCACCACCGGCGCGTTCATACGCAGAGCGTACTCGACGATGTGCTCCCGCTCCCGGTCGCCCTCGTAGGTGTCCTCGAATTCGGAGCCGCGAATACTGCCGACAGGGGAGGGCATACGGGGGGGGGGGGGGGTCAGGGAGGGGAGCAGACGCGGCGCAATGGGTCACATCCGGCCAGCCACACAGTGTAACAGAATACAAGTGTTAATAAGCAAATTCTTGTTTGTGATAGTCTAGATTTGTAGGACCGTAGTTGTTCTTGCCGTTCAACCACGCGATTCCAATAATAAACAGAATGTAAATACAAAGTTGGGCCTGTATTCAATTCACGGCCACAGAAACCAAAGATAACAAACAAATTGACTTTGCCAAGGTCCGAAGACAGACTGGTCCGCCGAGCAGTAAGGACAAGTGCACGGCTGCGACTCCAAGACCGAAGTGCCTTACCGTGCGGCACCGGCCGAGTTCACGACACACACACACATACGTCACATATACACGTCAGACATACAGATGTACGTCATATCATAGCACCAATCAGAAGCGGGCAAGGACAGGCGTCGCAGGTGAGGAGTGAGGACCATATAAGGATATTGTAAGTGGGCGAGAGGGCTGGGCAGTAAGTAGGTACAGAGGGAGGTGGAGGACGGGGTAGGAACGAATTTCGTCACACACAGTCAAATAGACTCGTTAATTGGGATCATAAGTTACGTCAGGAAGCCGTGGTGAGGGGATGGAAGCCGTACAAGGCGTTTACAAGCAAGCGGGGAAGCGGACAGGGCGTACCGACACTTCGATTCGTGTGTCGGTATGCCCACATATGCTACCTATCGATTCGTGTACTTATTCACTGACAACTGAAAACGTCCCGATTTCCTTGCCCTTCAGTGACACCACACAGATCATATACCACACCTCCATTCCTAACTTGCCCATATCTCACAATTTGATGGTGGGGTAGCCGCGGATGCCGAAGTGGCTGGCCACGCCGCTGTACTTGGTGCAGTCCACGCGGCCGACGCGCACCTCCGAGTGCGCCAGCTGCTGAGCCACCTGCATCCACACGGGCTCCAGCTTCTTGCAGTGGCCGCACCAGGGAGCGTAGAACTTCACCAGCCACGTACCCTCCTGGTAGATGTCCAAAAACCTGGCGGGGTGGCGGGAGATGATGGAAATGCTCCGGCGGAGACGGGAGAGGGGCGAGACAGATGGGATGATACAGCTGCTACGGCACAGACATCATAACCTCAGGCAAACAGGCCCAGGCCAAAGGACCATGTTGAAAGTTAAGAATAATATCTGGAAGTGCCTAATTTCAAGTAAGAATAGAAAATGTTTGATAAATGTTGATTGTTGGCCTATCTGTCTTTCAGTTATGCTCCAGTTTTGTCCAAATCAGGCATTAGAAAATGGGAAGCAACACTACCTATTTATTAGCTTTTAGCAATCATCCACAAATAGTACAGTGTTATGGTGCATCAGAACACATACCTGTCACTGAGCTCATAGACCCGTGTGCTGGCCACACTTTGAAAAGCTCCTGCAGTAAATAGAAAATACCAACATTAGCTGTATGGAAACATGGAGATAAGAAAATTGGAAAGCTTGAACAAATTTGTGTACATTTATACCTATGAAGAGAACTTATTTTTCTTTTTAGCTATAACCAGGCAATTATAAATGGTCTTTGTTAGAATGAAAGCAAACACACACATTGAAATCATACATAAATGTAAAAATGATCTAAAAAACAGTTAAAACACACAAATATTATGCAGATTTGTTGGTTTATGTGTTCAGCAACTGCACAATGGATGGGTAGAGTATCACATACACTCTACTAACACAGTCATCAGTTATTTTATTGCATGGGTTACAAACCATTCTAGTCCAGAAATAGTATTTTTTTTTCTGAACTCACCTAGAAGTAGAGCAAATAAATATATGAGGAGCTTCATATCTAGATATGAAGCTAAGGTGACACTTGATCAACAGCTCTGAAAAAGAAGGGACAGAGAGGTTGTCAAAATTCCTAACTCCAAAATAAGCACTGGCATAACAAGTAGAAAATTTTCAGACCTTATTTCCTTACTTTCCTTTCGCATTGCTATGGCCATACAGTTCAAAACATTTTTTCCATTATTTTAGTGTCCTTACTACCTGAGAAAAAGACAGTGACACAATTTAGCCACTTACAGATGCTGTAGAATGGGCTAATACTCAAATAAACCCCTTGGATATGCCAACAGAGGGATATAAATTTTGTATCGCTTGTAGGGGGACTTAGACAAGCTGAATCTATGGTGCACATTTTCATGCTTTCTTCAAAGTTCAATCATAAATAATATTGATGTATGAATCTAAATCCAAGCTTTGGCTTCTGGGAGCTGTCTAGGGCACCTTGTTAGCTCTGCAATGATGCAGTCACACTTAATATTCTGCAATACAAACAATTGCAATTCTCATTTCTCAGCCTTAGCAATTTGAATTGAATCCACAATCCACATTCAATCATCCAGCTATTCTGCTTCAGAGGGCTGTTCACAGGCACTGCACACCGCTGCATGCGGTGAGGCAGCAGGAGTGCCGCGTGGGAGCAGGGGAGGGGTAGTCGTCGCGTCAGTTTGTCACACGGCTGCGTACGGTAGACCGCACTCAGCCAACGCTGTCCCAACTGGCCACAGCGGTCGCTGTGTGCGGTGATGAAAGGCTGACCTAGGACGCCATGGGCGGAGATTGAAGCCTGCGTACGGTCCTACCAACTACCAAGCACAGGGCCCGAGAACAGCCCTCAGAATAACTATTAAAGGAAACAGTTCACTTTCCTGAAATTAGTATTTTGCTATGGATTTACGATTTTTTATGCTCAAAATGATCAGAAAATAAAATAAAACCTTTTTGTAAAAACAATTATTTTCTATATTTTAATATAGGATGAACTATATTCTATGTAAAATAATGTTTGACGCGGAAGCTTATTACGCGTTGACCAATCATATTGCGTAGTTCAAACCTGCGTATGCTGCATTAGCTGTAAGCAGCATGCTGATTGGCTGATGATGAAGTGGCTGCATTCCTGTGCAAGGCACACATTCCTCTGCAAGGCACTCTTTTCGGAACGAGAAATGGAATATCTTCGTCTAGGGTGATCGTTGAGCCGTAAAAGCTCCTGATTTGTGCTAGTCTCAGCTCAAGCTACGAAACTGCTATTCCAGTTCAAAATCCCATGTTAAAAGTGAACTATTTCCTTTAACTGCACTAAAACAACTGTCATGCCATCCACAGTAGAGCATGTATGGCATACAAAACAGTTATTTTTAGAATAAATCTCCCAATAAGCACCAATATATCCCCATAAAACACTCAAAACGCAAGAATATTGAACTGCGCTACATTTGTCGCGAAGGCTTCGTGAATTGAAATCGTTCTCAAATTGAAAGGTAGTAAGGCAAAAATATCAGCCAGCAATCAACAAACCAATGTTTATGTATACCAACAGCTGAAACAGTCAAGAAATTACAAGAATTTCCGAAAACATCAACAACTGGCTACAGACAAATCAGTAGGCGGAACTATGGTCAAGCGTACCCATTTTCGGGAACGCATTTTCGTTCCCATGTTTGGGAACGATAAACCCAAATATGGGAACGCCATGTAGGAATTATTTAAAACAAGAAAAAGAACCGTTAAATGACGTCCAAAAAATATAAAACGATCGTGAACCGCCTGATATTTGTCTCAATATTGTTGGGAAAGAGTTTGATATTGTAAGGCCCATCGTAGTTTCAAATCGTTCCCCTATTTCTAAAGCAGTCCATCATCCGGGCCGCGAACCCAAATTTGGGAACGCTCTCGTACACTGGCGCTGCAAGCGTTCCTTATTATGGGAACGGCGTACCCAAAATTGGGAACGATTTCACCGACGCCTTTCAGGGGCTCTTTTCATTAACAAGCATCATGTCCAACGCCGCAAATTATTGTTAAGCAACAATCATCAGATGACCTTTCCGGCAAGACCGTCGCATGTTTCGCCCGGTCTTCTGCGCTTTTATTCCCGTCGATCTCGCAGCGGGCACGCCCCCTCTGCAGGATTACGTAATTCACAACGCTCAGCGATGTTCAACAAGGTCTTCCATACCTATATCCACCGTCCGCGACGAGGGTGGAGACATGTCAAGCACCTGTCTGTTTATCACCGATAGTTGACGAGCACAAGGAAGTATCCAAAAATGGGAACGCTGAATATGTTACACCCTCAAAACACCTAGTCCCATGGAAAATCTAGTTTTTTCCTTTCTTAATGAGTGTAAGTGGCAAAAGGCCTGGTAGGATGGGCACGAGGAATGATCGAAATCAGCATAAAAATTATAAATAAGCCACACAGAGCGACCTATATAAGAGAAATTCCCCCAAAACGATCATGCTTAGAAACACGGAAGACAAAAACCACGCTCATGACGCTCCTTATAAAACAATGCTAAACAGCTAGCATCCAAATAAAATATGTCTTTCCGGGCTGATAAAATACAGCTGAATAATTTTAAACCACTGAAACTAAGTTTACAACAGTAGTTCGGTAAAATCACTGACGTTCCACGCGGTCGTGCGCCCCGAGACCAAAAGTCAACAATATTACCTCGGGACTGTCCGCGTGTTCGCTTGCATATGTCAGCATCTGGTGTCGCTAGTATGAAACTTCATAACCAGGCGAAAATTATTATACTTGACCTCAAAATGAAAAAAACGCTTCATTTTCCTTTAAATTGCATGTTAAATGTAGTATAACCCATGTTTTCACCATTCCGTCATTTCAAAAAAATCATTAAAAATATCATTCGACGGTCAATTTCCTTGTTCAACGGTCAGATTAAAGATAATTTTATAGAGATTCAGTAGATGCTTAAATTAGCGTGCACTTTTTTGAGACGTGATGCACTAATGAGTTTTAGTGGGCGAACGGCCGAAAAATTACCTTCCGTTCCCGTAAATGGGAACGCCCGTTCCCATATTTGGGAACTCCGTTCCCAAAAATGGGAACGTTCCTATATTTGGGTACTCATGACCATAGTTCCACCTACTGAAATGGGAGTTGGCCCGCGATTATTTGTTTACATTCAAGGTGTGCCCTAAGAAAATTAAAGATAATTCTAAAACAGTCAGATCTTATGACGTCACACTTATTTGAAGAGAACGACAGAGAGAGGGAATCACTCCTTGAACTCAATAATGGAATCACTTCAACGGTTGTACTGGTAATCAAAGCGGAACTGGTCAAAAGGGGACTCTGATGATCAGTGAAAGCTGTGCTGTGCTGAACATTCACTCGACAGGTACTGGATACTACGTAAATTGATGAGGAGATTGGGGGCACGTTCGAGTTCACAGCACTTGCCGTATCATTCTCGCAGAGTGAAGTCAGATGTCATTCTCAACCCATATGAAAAAAAACTGTCAAGTGTCTGCGACCTCATGAACCCGTGGGGAGCTGCTGTTTATGTATATGGCAGCCATAATCAGAATCCCGTGCTCGTCGTTCGCCAATCGCAGCGTAAGGCACTTCCGAACGCCATGGAAAGATGCACACACAATAAAATCATAGGTGCAGCTTTTCACCGGAATTTAATTTAATTGAACGGTCCACCAGAACATGCCTCATGTGGCCATTTGTATTTGGTAAACTCGCGTAACAAACAAGCACCGAGCAGCGTGACCCGACACACCCAGAGGTCAACCCACCGCCGCAGGGTGGTCTTATGACGTCAGCAATACTCGAGTGACATTCTATAGCGCCATGGACTCTCCACTTGAGACAGAAGGCTCCCGCAGTGGTCCTCTCAGGTCACCCGGCTATTCCTAACTCATCAACCGACTGCCACAGCACGGCGACACGCATCAAGCATCACAAGTTATCGCCCGCGGTCGAGCCGGCGATATCACACAGATCACCGCTCAGAAGGCATGCCACTCTCCACCCCCGGCTCTCTTTCCCTGACCCGCGGTGCACGACCCTTCCGGCGGCTGCTCACCGACCCTGGACATGGACGTTACGCTCTTCGTCTTCCCTCAACAAAATAACTGTTTCTTGTCGAACATTCAGGCTGACGTTTTGGAGGTGAGGTGACGTTCACTCTCTGACCCTCTTCGCCCCTCACCGCTTCTTTTCCTGGCAGTTGAGCTCCATGCTTGACGGTCCGGGATCGGACACTTTTCTCCGACCTCCTTCACCCCTCACTGTTCCTTGACCTTCACGTTGAGTTTGACGTTCATGGCGGCCAGCTGGATGGCCAGGTGGAGCACCATGTAGGGCAGGTGGACGGTCACCACGTCCCTGGTGCTGTCGCACACTGTACAGACGGGCCGCCGGCCGGTGCCGCCGCTGCGCGGACCCCGGCTCCGCTGAGCCTGCAGCTCCACAACGGGGGACAGCAGCGAGCCGCAGGACGAGCACACGTGCATCTGAGGGACAGCGGGGTAAGAGTGAGGTCAGGCGTGGTATATATCACATAGGGACGCAGGCAAGCACAAACACAAGGCACACGACACTACGGAGTCTATATATCCATATTTTTCACATATCTTTTGCATTTATCTATCACTCGCCCCTTGCCGTAGAAAAGCTCTGCTCCCTTTCATCAAACATTCCTCCTACATCAATACTCCTTGCTTCCTCCCCTCCCCTGCCCGTAACACACGTCTACGCTTTACCTAAGCCTCCCCCTTTTCTATTCCAGCCTTTCTACCTACCTACTTCCTTTCTTCCTAGCCACTCTCAACGACCCTTGCCCCTCCTCTCCTAGACCTCAGTCCCTCCTCTCCCTGACCCCGTCCCTCACCTCGGCCTTGTCGGAGCAGCTGAACAGCCGGTCCTGCACGATCAGCGTCGTGCCGTGGGCCATCACCCCGTCCCGCTCCATCTCTCCGAACCGCACGCCGCCGCCCTTCTTCCGGCCCTTGACCGGCTGGCGTGTGACGCAGTTCACCGGGCCTGTGCTTCTCACCTGGAAGGGGGGAATGGGAGTTATTATAACGGGCTGCACTCAGTGCCCAGTGTGGATAGCTCGTCATCCATTGGTACATAGCACGAGAGGCAAGCGAGATAACAAGCGGAAGAAACACGCCTGGAGACAATGTTCCACTGGAGTGCGTAACACGACAAACTAAATAACTAAATGCTGATTCATTGATAATCGCATTTCGGATCAGCAAATAGCGCATGTTGCCAGACAGAGAGGGCAAATTGCATAGCTAAAAACCCGTCTCATATCTGGTGACCATGAGCGAAGCAGCTCCACCATGTTTGCCAGTAAAAAGCGCCACAGTTCGGGCACATGTAGAATACCGGCCGACAGGGTAGCTAAGTACCCGAATCTTGGAGCATGAAAAGCTAAGGGAAGCGGTGAATGAACAGCAGACCTTTGCATGCAGCTGAATGGATGGTTACACAAATGTAAACACTAATGTAAGAGTCCGTTTTTCAGCAACGGTCAACAGTTAAGCGAAAGACGGCTTTGAGATAAGTGCTTATGATAGCTGTGTCACATGGGTGACAAATGACATCGAAGACTGACGAGCGACATTATGTAGATAAAATCATACGTGTTTGTCACATTACTCAGCTGAACAGAACTGTATTAGGTGGCTGCCGGGCAGAGTGACAGTGTGTGAGGCAAATCCCGATCAGTGAGTCACAGACGTGTTGGCCACTCAGCTGACCCAGTCCCCATACCGGTTCCAAAATGCTTCCCCAGCCCCACCGGCCGTCCCTGAGGCGACTGTCACCGGTGACCACCCGGCTGCCGGGCGCCCTCTGTCTGCACTGGGGCGGAAATGTGCCGGGCGCCCTCCACCCCGGCACTGGGGCGGAATCGAACCCGTCATCAATGTCATCCGCCCCCTCTCCTGTTAACCCCCACCGCTCCTGACCATTGAGGACTCTGCCAGGTTACCCAGACCAGCTGCTCAGCCCCGGATCCACCTGTCCCAGGGTGCGGGTACACGTATTACGTAACATTACAGCCCTCACGCGCAGCACCCACCTGCCATTTGTCTGAGACCATGTGCCTGAGCCGCTGGTAGTGGATCACGCCGAAGAAGATCTTGGCCTCCAGTTCGGTGCCGGTGATGCCGCTGTACATGGTCTCCGTACCGTAGTAGTTGTAACCGGCTGACGGAGGGAGACGGGGAGAAAACGTGAAAAAACGCACACACAAGGCAGATGAAATGCAGGGGCTAGTGAGCTAGCAGCCTGTGACTCAATCATGCATTAAAGGTAGTGTGCCACCTTTGAAAGATTTCCCATTTTATTTTTCCTAGGATAAGAAGCTTCTGTTTTTACCTAATATCGCAAAAAAAATCAAAAATGGGCCTGGAATAGTGCCTTTTTCGCCTAAAAGTTTTTCGGTTTTTAGATATGTATAACAACTGTAGTGGGCTCACCTGCAAACAGGCGTCGGGCAACAATCGCGAATGCGGCGCACTTGTGACAATAAGCAAAGGTCATTATAGTGTTACGACCATACGACGTACGGGAATGAGTTATCAGCTGTCTAATCGTAGACAACACAATGTCGAGCCTTAAACTGTAAGCCCGTATTGGTATTGTTTCTTTTATTTGGCTGTCGAACATTATTTATGGTTTGAAATATGATTTTATGTAAAATAATTGATATGAAAAAGCCGTCTTATAAGTTATGAGCCCATTTCACCACACGCAAGTGGCAGAAATGACAATGATCAGCTGACGCATTTTTCTTGGCCGAAGTCAGAGCGCGCGGCCCGACGCACCACGCGTATTTGGAAATTCCGACCTCGACGAGCATCAGAAGCCACCTAACAGGCGTGTTCGAAACCGCAGGAGATGATGATGAACGGGTTTATCGAAACTTGATTGGATGAGCATATCGGTAATAGCGATTTCAGTGTGTGCATTTATTGTTCATAGTGGTGTGAAATGTGGTTGGGGTACGACCGACAACCCGTCGGGGCGAATTTCGCACTGGGGTACTCAAAATTTGAAGAATTTAAGACGTTTCCATGAGTTTTGAAGGTATGGATAAGTTCTAAAAATCCGGTTCTCCTTATCTGGGCCATTAACTCCATACGGTCCAAGAAAGCTGGCACACTACCTTTAACACGTGTCACCAGTGTCGCGTTACGCATCGTCCAGCGCAGCAGGTCTGCTTTCTTTAAATGGATAGGTGCCATTATTACTTGAACGAAAATATCCCGGACAAAAGGTTAACAGACATTCAGATACAAAAGTCACCAAAACCCTTCATCGCACTTCACTTTTTACAACACCAATCTACCAGGCGAAATCGGCGCAAGCCACACCTGCATCCCAAGTGCATATAACTCCAATTAATTTCACGCAAATGTAAACCACACCGGGGACCTAACGTCGCACAGGATCCCGGACCATTATCAGACCCCGCCTAACGCACGCACCTCGCTCCAGGACCTGGCCGAAGTAGTCGATTGCCGTGCTGTCCTCACTGAATCGGAACGGCGTGGCGTCGTAACAGTGGCCGTTGACGGCGCCCGCCTTGCCCGCCATGCACTCCACCATCATGGCTGCCGACAACAGAGGCGTCAATGTTCAGGGCATATAGCGGTAAAATACGGGCAAAACAGCCGAGTCCAGGCGGCATGATTAACATTTTTTAGCATGCTTAATCATTTTGTCTTTAGTTCAACATACACCACGCATTTTGATAAAGATATCATTTGTAGATGAATCAGTCACAGAGAAAACAATGCAAAGAGTTATATGGTGATATGTCTTACATAATTCCGTTCAAAGCTTTTACATGATGGCAGATGTTTAAGCCAGTACAGAACAGTCATGCGGTGGCATCCGTCCGTCGTCTCACCGATGGTCATTCGAGAGGGGAATCCGTGCGGGTTGAAGATGATGTCGGGCACCAGGCCGCTCTCCGTCCACGGCAAGTCCTCAGTGGCGTGCAGTCGGCTGCAGATGCCCTTCTGGCCGGCGCGACTGGCGAACTTGTCACCCACCGTCGGCTTCCGCTGAAAAACACGGAGAGTGATTGTTAACGGACGAACTGAGGGGTGTGAAGAAAACGAGCAAACTGAGGACTGATGAGACAGAGAAGTCCAGACAAATAAGCTAAGCAAATATTGCAGATACACGGTATATGATGTGATGTGATACACATGAATGCTGTCTGTAAGGCCAGGCCCAAGATCAAACCTAAGACGCATATGATTATTCAACGACCATTGCATGAGAGCAGCAGCTACTCCAGCAATGCGCTCGAAAAACATGGCTTTCGAGGGCCGCCAGCGGTAACAAAAAGTGACCCGTTCTGACCACGGTCACGAAGATACAGACGGCACGGGTATAAAGGCAGCGCGCCGGCCGACTGACGGCATCCCGGACCGCCGGCCGCCCACCCCAGACCTCTCCCGCCGCCGCCGCCGCCATGCTGCGCTTCGCCCTCCTCACTCTGCTGGTGCTAGCCCTCGTCACAGGCGAGCCGGAGCCCCACAAGAGGAGGAAGTTCTACCGCGGATACGGCGGATACGGATACGGATACGGCGGATACCGCTACAAACGGTCCGCCAGCCCGGAGCCCGTGGCCGGACACCGCAGAGGCTACGGCGGCGGATATAGAGGCGGCTACGGTGGAGGCTACGGAGGCTACCGTGGAGGCTACGGCGGCTACGGAGGAGGCTACCGCTACAAGCGGTCCGCCGATCCCATGCCGGGCCTGCGTGGAGGCTACGGCGGCTACGGTGGAGGCTATGGTGGATATGGTGGGGGCTACGGTGGAGGCTACGGAGGCTCCCGTGGAGGCTACGGCGGGGGCTACGGTAGAGGCTACGGCAAATAAGCACTACGCTTGTCAATAGCCGTTATAAACCAGCGCTTTCATTCGTAGTGTCTCTGTTACGGGTCCTCGTTGCCTTTGCTCTGTATGCCACTGTACCACAATGATATTGCCATGTCGCTATGCTGCTATGCTTCGCTTGGCAACCAACATGTCGAGACAGTGTCACTGTTGTGTATGAGGCGGCGTTTAAGCCTCCAAAGACGGATTAATACAAAACCCATCGGAACGCCAGTTATGTATATCTCGCCTAAAAAGTTAAGGCACACCTTCTACGTAACTCGTAAGCCATAGAAACATTATGGTTGGAGGCTCCAACTTGGAGCTAGTGTTTGCGATGGTTCGTTGAATCACTACACCATGGATGAGCATTATATCATCCATGACTACACGATAAAACTATTTGTCCAAGGACAGCCAAGTCGCTGAGTCAGGAATACAAGTTAACAATAGCTGTTCTGCCAAGAGCCATTTACATAAACAATGTCAATCACAGTTAATGACTAAATCATGGGAGCGACAAATAAAAAGGTGGGTATCGTAAAAATATGATGCTCGCCACTCACATCACACCGTTGCAGAAGCCAATACGATGGGTCGATGATAGCAGACTGACAGGTGACTTTTGGACAGGTGACTACTTCGGCCGTGGTTCTTTGCTCACCATTTGCTCACCTGGGCCCAATCTCACCAAGTGGGGTAAACTCAATTTGGGGTAAAATACCAAACTACCCCACTCCGTAACTACAAAAATACTATCCCGAAATTAGTTAAACTAGCTTGGTGAGGTTGGGCACTTGGCCCAATCTCACCAAGCTAGTTTAACTAATTTCGGGGTAGTATTTTTGTAGTTACGGAGTGGGGTAGTTTGGTATTTTACCCCAAATTGAGTTTACCCCACTTGGTGAGATTGGGCCCAGGAGAGAATCTTATATCATTCCGTTACGTTTCAAACGGGACGAAGCAACATTACGAGCACAGCTATATAAAAAGGAATAATATAGAAGGAAACGTTTGGCATCCCTACATAAAATCGATTAAACGGGTTATTTTAACTAAAAAAGCAGCAACAACAACACAAACAAACAATTGTTGCATATCTGGCACCGTCATAAAATAGAGCGAACTGAAATACTAAATAAAAAAGAGCGAAAATATTCTCATTTTGGCAAACTTGTCGGCAACTACTAGCAGCTAAGTCATATTACACTGATCAACAGCCAAAAATGTACAGAGAGGTGAGCATTCGTTTTTCCCTAATTCGAGGCCGCTGATTCCAAATCTGGTCACCGTTTTGCCCCATCGGGCTCAGTTTTTTGTCTGGCACATACTGATGCCTTAAATTCTCACTTTTTATGCATTGTTGTTGGCCTATTGTAGATATCCTTAGATCTAGATGATATATCTTTTTAATCCATATTTACCACAGCCAGGCAACACAGATGAGCACAGAACTATTGAATTTGTTGGAACAGAAATGTATATCACACATCACAGCGCAATGTAGGTAATCACATATTGTACAATCACGGCAAAGTGCAATCAACCAACGGTATGGTCATCCATCTGTGCTACCTCTCGACCACAGAGGCAAGATTTTTGGTCATTTCAAACACTTTGGCATCTTCCTTTCGCTCAGCAACTCTTCTTGTTAGAATCGCTTCTGATTCTTGCTTTGTCTCCTCCCCTGCTGACGTTCCTCTCTCTGCAGTGTCCAGCAGTAATCACCCATCATATTCGGACCAGACTTGCCCTGATATCTGCTCTCCATCACGGCGATGTCCTGAGATAATACTCATTCATGATCCATGGTGTAGTGATTCAACGAACCATCATAAACGCTAGCTCCAACCATGATGTTTCTCTGGCTTACGTAGGTGTGCCTAAACTTTTAGACGAGATATAAATAACAGGTGTTCCGATAGGTTTTGTATTAATCCGTCTTTGGAGGCGTGGCCGCCGCCTTATGCACAACAGTGACACTGTCTGGACATGTTGCTTGGCAAGCGAAGCATAGCAGCATAGCGATATGGCAATATCATTGTGGTACAGTGGCATACAGAACAAAGGCAACGAGGACCCGTAACAGAGACACTACGAATGAAAGCGCTGGTTTCCAAAGGCTATCGACAAGCGTGGTGCTTATTTGCCGTAGCCTCTACCGTAGCCTCCACCGTAGCCCCCACGGGAGCCTCCGTAGCCTCCACCGTAGCCCCCACCATATCCACCATAGCCTCCACCGTAGCCGCCGTAGCCTCCACGCAGACCCGGCATGGGATCGGCGGACCGCTTGTAGCGGTAGCCTCCTCCGTAGCCGCCGTAGCCTCCACGGTAGCCTCCGTAGCCTCCACCGTAGCCGCCTCTATATCCGCCGCCGTAGCCTCTGCGGTGTCCGGCCACGGGCTCCGGACTGGCGGACCGTTTGTAGCGGTATCCGCCGTATCCGTATCCGTATCCGCCGTATCCGCGGTAGAACTTCCTCCTCTTGTGGGGCTCCGGCTCGCCTGTGACGAGGGCTAGCACCAGCAGAGTGAGGAGGGCGAAGCGCAGCATGGTGGCGGCGGCGGCGGGGGAGGTCTGGGGTGGGCGGCCGGTGGTCCGGGATGCCGTCAGTCTGCCGGCGCGCTGCCTTTATACCGTGTCCGCGGGCTGCGGTCAGTCGGCCCGGTTTTTGTCCCCACTCGTGACCCTGGGTCAGCGAGGTCAGACACAGATGCCATGGCAGAAGTGCAAGCGGCTGAGCACGGCACATTATCGCGACCATTTCGGCTCGTTCATTCCAACTGCGATTATGAGGTTTCCCCCGGCTACCAACAAATCAGCACCCACCAGCTCAGTAGTTTCAGAACAACCGGGAGGTGGCCACTGGCCATGCTCTTATATTGAGACTATCGATAATGGCACATTTGGTAGTGTTTGTAAACCAATCCATGATATGGAGTCAGTTTTTCAAACGAGCTTCTCTAACCACTGCGTGTAATGAAGGATTCAAAAGATTCCCAATAACGATCGTGTCGTGTTTAGATTTTAAGGATTAAGTGGTGCTGTTGCATTATGCATGTAATCAAACATTCTTTTTGCAAATATTGCTGGTGTTCGTAACTCGTAATGAAGATTTACAAACGTGGAAAGTGACACTTTACTCAAAAACATCAAACGTCATTTTATCATCAAAAACATAATTTAGTCAAACATCGTTCAAAGACCGTTTGTAGACCATATAATAAACGTGACAAATGTCAGGCATTGACTCCACAGGGCGGGCGCAACACTGCTGTGCAATGTGCATTTTTGACTATAAAAGTGTCCCAAGGTTGCCACTTATTCAATACAACCGAGTCGATATCACCAGTAGACAAAAACGGACCGCGCATGTCCAAATTTGGACCATTTCATTCGACAAGTTATTTTTGACCGGACACGTCGTGACGTATTATCCCAATATGATACTCGCTACGGTTCCGCATGCGGTACGATTTAATCAGAACCATCCGTGTCAGGCGCTGTTAGTTAGCGGAGAGGGCCTCAACCTAGAGGTGGCAAAATGTGGACCCGGGGACCCGGTCCAAAGAACCCAGACCGGTTCCTGGAAATTTGCTGACCGGTCCAACCGGGTCCTGCCATAAACCATACATTTTGCACACTACACATGATTGCAAAATATTGAAGTGAATGAAAAGAAAACATTTGTTCGTGTATGTTTCTTTACACACTGTAGCTCATAAGTGTTCCCAGTGGGAAAAGGCTGTTTTACATGATGCAACTATTGATACCTACAAATAGTTTGCATTAATTGACATTTGGGAAACGTGTCCAACTGGTTCCGATGCCAACTTAAACCGGGTCCGACTGGTTCCAGAAATGTCCAGTCGGGTCTGGTTCGAGTCTGGTTACCAAAATTTTCACCTTTTGACACCTCTACCTCAACCCGTTAAAAACTGATAAAAAAGAGACTGATCGACTGACTATCTAACATGTTATGGCGACCGGCCATTCTAGCAGCTCCCGTGCTCTGTTTAGATCAACGTCTGCCGTTGGCATCTGGGCTGACCTCGCTGACCCAGGGTCACTAATACCGACAAAAACCGGGCCGACTGACCGCAGCCCGCGGACACGGTATATAGGCAGCGCGCCGGCGGACTGACGGCATCCCGGACCACCGGCCGCCCACCCCAGACCTCTCCCGCCGCCGCCGCCGCCATGCTGCGCTTCGCCCTCCTCACTCTGCTGGTGCTAGCCCTCGTCACAGGCGAGCCGGAGCCCCACAAGAGGAGGAAGTTCTACCGCGGATACGGCGGATACGGATACGGATACGGCGGATACCGCTACAAACGGTCCGCCAGTCCCGAGCCCGTGGCCGGACACCGCAGAGGCTACGGCGGCGGATATAGAGGCGGCTACGGTGGAGGCTACGGAGGCTACCGTGGAGGCTACGGCGGCTACGGAGGAGGCTACCGCTACAAACGGTCCGCCGATCCCATGCCGGGCTTGCGTGGAGGCTACGGCGGCTACGGTGGAGGCTATGGTGGATATGGTGGGGGCTACGGTGGAGGCTACGGAGGCTCCCGTGGGGGCTACGGTGGTGGCTACGGTAGAGGCTACGGCAAATAAGCGTTGCGCTTGTCGATAGCCTTTGGAAACCAGCGCTTTCATTCGTAGTGTCTCTGTTACGGGTCCATCGTTACCTTCACTCGTCATCACCTCATTGTGTTTGTGCCTGCATCGGCTACCATGCTACCAATATGCCGAAACTGCCGTGGGTCTGAGATTGTCACCTGAAGAAATATATGGCGAAACAGTCACCACTCGGGTTGGACCATTGTTTTCGTACTGTACATAGAGCAACGATCTCATGGGACTGCCACTTTAGTTTGTCGGCACGGGCTCCCGGACCCCTCCCCCACCTCTCCCTTTCCCGTTTGCGTCTCACCTCCACCCGCAGTATGAGCATGACGACCTGCAGGATCTCCGAGCCGCCGGGGTCACCCAGAAGTTTCACCGAGTCCACCCGGGCCGGCTCCTCGTCCATGTAGCGGGTCACGTGGAACTTGTCCTCCTCCAGGCTGTATGAACTGCGGAGAGGGAGGATAGTCACGTGATATTTTGTACAGCGTTCTGTATCATTCATGCTTCCTAACAGTTACAGCCAGAGGTCAATATATTTGGCTGCAAGCGCGATTGGTCTAATGTCCGGCCTCCACGGTGCTCGCTGAGTAGCATATGAAGAAAAAAGTCCGTATCTCCCGCACCGTGTTATGAAACGGCGGGCGTTATCAGTATTCAAATATTAGAGTCAAAGGACGGAAAAGGTATATTTACAAGTGTATTCGAATGTTTATTCCTGTTGTTCTGCCACCAAGATAGCAAGATAGCAATCAATAGCTATACCAACAAATTCATCAGTAAAGAGCTCGTTGCGAATAAGTACAAAACACGGCAAATAGCACACCAAACAGTCCATTCTAGCATCATGGTAAGACACTAGCGCGGGCCCATCCGTCAACAGCACCAAGTTCTGTCCCAGTTGATCAAATACTTTCCAGTTACTATCAGCTACGCCCTTCATTGATCCACGGCCCGCCCAAGTAGACCCCCTCACGGAGAGAACGGTTCCGAATCCCCCGAGTCCGCGGTGCCCGGCGGAGGCGGGTAGCCCTCCGAACAGCTCTCTGAGAGGGCTGGCGAGGTTATCCGACTACCCAGCGTCGACAGCTGCCGGGTCGAGCCCATACTGCTCAGTTGCGCAGGCGGTGAGTCAGCGCCGGCCAGCAGCGGCGTGCCCGAGTCGTCTGACCCCTCCTGAGAGTCGTCCGAACCGTCCGGCGAGGGGTCCTCGGAGCCGTCAGAGGCCGCGTCCACGTCATACCCGGTGATCCGGCCGCTGGGCGAGAGGTGCGCGTCGGTACCCAGCAGGGTGCGGGCCGTCACCACCCGCCCGGAGCCGGTCACCGTCACCGGAGCGCCCGAGGGGGTCTGTGTCAGCGCCCGGCCCGAGGGCGTGCGGTTGACGCTCAGCTGACTGGCAAAGCGCACCTGTTTGCTCGGCTCCAGGAAGAACTCGGTTTCGCGTGACGGAGTGATGCTGATGGTCCGTGACGGTGTGGCCAGCGAGTGACGGGACCGTGACAGCAGCAGGGACTGTTTGGAGGGGCGCAGCAGGCGGCGCCGGGAGGGCGTCACGCGCACAAACTCTCCCGTCTGCAGCTGCAGATAGTCGAGCTGGTCCTTCTCGGACAGCCGCTCACCGTAAATCATCCTCAGTAGGCCGGGAAACAGGCCAAATCGCCCACTCTTACTGGCATACAGGAGTCCCGCGGCCATCAGAAGCAGCACACAGCCAATGAGCGCGCTCATGACCGCCACCCACTCCTCCGCGAGCGACTCTGCCACCACCACTGTGGTGCGAACGAACGACACACCGAACGCGTGTATGAGCCAGGTGCGAGCCGGGGTCGACACCAGACACCCGTAGAAGCCCTGCACGTCCTTACTGTGAGGATCGAGCCGCAGCACAGAGAACGGCGGCGAGCGCTCCACCGCCGCGCTGTCCGCGTCAATCAGTTCGTCCAGCCGCAGCCAGCGGACACGCGCAGAGCTGGCGTTCTTCCCGGCGCCCTTTCCTTTGCTCTTCCCTCCCCCACCGCCTCCGCCGCCGCTGTCCGGGGTCGTCACGTCCGAGTAGTCGCAGGAGAGCGCCGGCGCGTGGCCCTGCTGGTAGACGGCCTCGGTGTAGTGGTCAGCCAGCGTGGCCACGGCCGAGCTCACCATGCCGCCCCACTCTTTGACGGACATCTGGCGGGACGTGTCACGCCGGCCGTTCAGCAGGAACGACTCCACCAGACCCTGGAAACCGTTACTCTCGCCGATCTTTTTCAGTGTGTCCGGGGGACCGCCGCCCACGTATACGATTTTACGGCAGACGCTGAAATCGAGTCCGCGCATTAGACGAGTCCGGTGGACGAAATTCACCACCATGGTCATCACTTTGGGTTCAATGAGCACCCGCAGTCGGTACCACGTATCCAGCTCAGCGCTCTGACTGGACGCCAGACACTCCCGCGCCGCCGCCAGTTGGGCGCACACCTGGAACACACCACCCGTTTTGACGAACACAAACGACGCCTCCTCGATGCCGCGGGTGAACATGAGCACACCGTGCTGGCGGATCATGAACGTGGCGACAAAGTCCAGCCGGCGGCCGTGACTGCCGGCTCTGTCTCCGCTACTGTTGGTCGGACACTGCGCCGTGAAAAAGTCAGCCGCCTCCAGGCGCACATACACGTCATCCGCCGTGGCCACGCTGGTGGTGACGCCCTCGGCGATGGCCGGCACGCCGCCGGCCGTCCAGTCAGCCTCCATGCGCAGACTGTACTCCATGTAGTTGACGGCCAGCGCCGACACCGTGCCGTGGAACGCCGAGCGCCGGTTGCGGTCCGAGCCCACGTACATGTCCATATCGTAGTTGGGTCCGTCCGGCACGCAGCTCAGGTACGCCTTGCGGTGCTCCTCGGCGTTATCCAGCCTCATAAAGGCGCGGTCGCCGACTATAGCGACGGCCACCTCGTGCCAGTGACCAATCTGCACGGCCGGCCGGCCTTCGAGCTTCACCCGGCACTGACGCATCGTGCTCTCGAGTACCAGGAACCCACTGACGAGCGAGAGTCGCGCCCAGTCGCAGTGGTGCGGCTCGGGACACTTGTTCTGGAACCGGTGCAGCAGCACGCTGTCGCCCGACTCGGGCCGGAAGCGGACGTACACCAGCAGCAGCGCAGCTGGGATGTACAGCGGCCGGTAGATCAGGTAGCCGCTGCCGTTGAAGGCCGCCAGGAGACGCGTCTCGACCGTGCACGGCCGCTGGAAGCAGTAGTGCACCTCGGAGCCGACCCCCTCGCAGTCGCGTCCGCCGCCGGCCGGCGGAGGGTCGCCGCACAGCCGGTCCCGCGTGCTGACGCCGGGCCCGCAGGCGGAGGAGCAGGCGCTCCAGGCGCCCCACTCGGACCACTGACCGTCCAGGGCGCACTGCGGCTCACAGACACGCACCTCGCGGCTCGAGCCGCCGCACAGAGCCGGGTCCACGCCGCTGCCGCCGCCGGGACTGGGTACAACAACATCAACATCGCCGCCGCCGCCGCCAGAGTCATCAGACTGGTCGATTTCTTCATCGGAGGTGTCAGACTTGCTACTGCTGCTGTCAGACTTGCTACCACTGCTTCCAGACTTACTGCCACTACTGGAAGACTTACTACCACTGCTGGCAAATTTTCTGACACTGCTAGCAGGCTTACTGCCACTGCTGGAGGATTTCCCGCCGCTCGAACTGACTCCAGCACTGTTGTCACTCTGCCCACTGGTTGGACGGCCCTTCATCCACTTCCCTAGTGTGCCCCCGCCACTGCCTCCGCTGCCTCCGCTGCCTCCCCTGCTGCGCGGGCCGCCGCCGGCCGCGGTGGTCGTCTGTGGCCGCCGGGTGGCCGGCCGTTTCTTCATTCCATCCGGCGGCAGGCGCAGGTCGATCCGTTTCGGCCCTGTATAGGTCGCCCGGCGGTGACGGGTACGGTGCACCCGCCGCCGCCGGCGCAGGGTCACCTCATCGGTCTCCGGCACTCGGTCCGAGTCCTCGCTCCTCAGCGACACCAGCCGGCAGCGGCGGTGGCGCTGCTGCGTGCCCACGCCGCACGAGGCGCTGCACTCGCTCCACGGCCCGAACGGGGCCCACTCGGCGCGGCCGCCCACGGACGACTCGCACGGCACGCTGCAGTCGCGGGCCGAGAACGACTTGCCGTGACAGCGGCCCTCGGACAGATTCGGCGCCGGGTCGGTGCAGGTTCGGAACCGCAGCTGCTGGCCGTCTCCGCAGGGCGCAGCCGAACACTCGCTGTACTGCGACCACTCGGTCCAGCCGCCCACTATCGGGCACGCCACGGCCTGCTTGAGACAGTGTAGTGACGCCCAGAGCGCGTGGACGCTCCCGTTACCGACCACATCCCGCAGGTGTTCCAGGCTGCAGTGCTGACGGATACAGAGCGTATCCAACTCTGGATGAGCATGCACCTGTTTCTGAAGTAGTTGTAGCGCTAGCTGTTGAGACGGGTTGTGTTCCGTCATAAACCCAGCCAGCTTATCCAGCCCGCAGCCGCGGGAGACACAGTACTGCACCTCGGAGGCCCGGCCGCGGCAGCGGAGACCGCCGTGCGCCGGCTCCGGTCGGTCGCAGAGCCGGCGGCGCACGCGCTCTCCGACCGCTCCGCAGGTGGCGCCGCACTCTGACCAGTGTCCCCAGGAGCCCCAGCCGCCGTCCTGCGGGCACGCGGCGCCCGGCTGCAGCGAGCACACCAGCTGGTGCCAGAGACGGGTGCGCGCGCGCTCAGACACATCCGGGAGGATCCAGGTGAGCCGGTCCCCGGTCAGCATCTCCTCGGTACAGGCGCGCTTCATCAGACAGACTCTCTTGAAGAACTGCTGACTGGCCGGCGCCAGCTGCGTCAGACTGCGCGCCAGGCCGGCGGACATGACGATCGTCCTCGTCCGCTCGAAGAGGGACGTGGTGACCGTCTTGTGGACGGGTTTGGACGGCGGCGGCAGCTCGGTGGAGGAGGAGGCTGTCGGCCGGTGCTCCGGAGGGTCGTCATCCTCGTCCACAGGCCGCTCCAGAGGGGACAGCGTGGTGGTCGCAGCGGTGGAACGGAACTTGGACAGGTGCTTCAGCGCCATCGAGTTGTTGTTCAGCATCTTCCTGGCCATTTTCTTGGCCTCGGCTGTTTTGTTGGGATTCCGTACCAGACGATTGAGGGTAAAGTTCTCGTCCTCTTCATCGAAATCGAAGAAAATCGGGTCTCCGCCAACACTGAGACGAACATTACACGCCACAAATAAAATAAAACAAAAGATGACCAATTTTATGTCTGTACGAGCAACACGCATGACGACTGTTCAAACACAATGAAAATATGTCCTGATAAATTATAAGCGGATGATTATCTGAGCAATAGCACAATAATTTCAAAGACAGTGCATTTACCGGCCTTGATACGTGGATGCATTGGGAGGCTAGGGAGGCTTATTGAAGCAACGAGATAAAACAATCAGAAACAGAATGTTCAACAAAACACGTGAAAAGCATATCATCATTCCTCCATGAAGCCAGCTCACCAATAAGGAGATACAGGGTGATCCAAAAAATTTGGAACCCCTCACTTAAAATGTATATAAGTCCGAAAGTATTCACTTAATTGACAAATTGCGAACACCATTAGAAAGAGCGTTAAATTCTCTATAAAATCACGTCAAATTGGTGCATGTATGCTTGTAAAGCATTGGCGCACTATTAGCTTTTGGAATGAGCGTCAGAAAACTGAGTGAAACGAAATCGTCAAATGTTAACAATGCGCTGAAATCTGTTAGCACTCTATCTGTTGTCTTTTTGCGAATAAAACCACATCCAAATTCAATGTTATTAAATAAAAGTTTACACAGAAGCACACAGTAGAACAGTTACACGCGTCCTAGCTTCCGCTGTTCATCCCAGCATGTGCTCAACGCGAGCTCCGTGGGCCGTCACGCAGGCCTGCAGTTGCTTGGGGACAGCTCCGAGTCCGACTGCGCGGGTCAGCAGTCTCTGGGACAACTGGTCCCAGCAGGCCGTCAGCCTTTCCTTTCCTTACAATAGCACGTGAATGAGCTATTTTTATTTATGAACCTCCAACAAGCGACATGTTCAGAACAGCAACGTCAATCATTGATTTGCGCATAATGTTCAAAACCGTTTCACTGAGTTTCGTGACACAAATTTTATAGGCATATGTCTAGGGCAATATTTATAGTAATAATTAACTACAACCAACTTGGTTTTATAGAGAATTGAACGCTCTTTCTAATGGTGTTTGCAATTTGTTAATAAAGTGAAAATTTTCTGATTTACAGACATTTTAAGTTAGGGGTTCCAATTTTTTTTGGATCACCCTGTATATACACGTATACAACAGCACTGAAAACGGTATGGTTAATAGCACGGTGACTTTAAGTTAATAGAAGACTGCCCATGACTGCCCCTACCACTCACCAACTCATGGGTGAGTCCTTCTCCAGTAGGATGCCCACGTGAGGGATGCCATCCTCGTCCAGATAGTCGGAGAGCCGCTCAGCGTGCGCGTCATCACGCCGGAACACCTTCACCACCTGAGAGCAGACAGAGAGGGAGAGGGAGGCGGGTGAGGTCGGGTCGGGTAGCAGATAGACGGGACCAGGGGATCTGTACATATTGTCTCAAATAGCCGTGTGTGAAGAGACATAGTTATACTTGCAGCGGTGTTTTCGCAAAATGGCACACTTTATCGCCTGGCAATAAACAATCTGCTTACAGTGAATCTTCCGCAGTTTGCTAGCTAGCATTCAAAGTAGTAATCCTACTCAGTTCAATAGTAGCATCTGAAAAAGTCCGAAAAATCATTCCGTTCAGTGGAAACTGGAAACGCTGAATCCCGAAAGTAAATGTTCCTAGCACTAAGCAACAGACACACAGTGGTCACAAGACGACATTACACAGTACGCAAGAAAAAAATGTTGAAAATGTATCGCACACAACTCACTCTACCAGCAACTGGCAATTCACTAGCCAAAAGCATTGACCACGGACCACCGTTCAACCATTACCAGGCACAGACCAGCTAATGTCCGCTCCGCTCATGCCATCCATCCGTTCGCCTTCAGTTGAGCGGAGGTGTTGGAAAAAAGAGATCGCATCCAGGCGCGGTGATCTAACAGAGCACAGGAGAGCCGTTTGAGATATGGCACGGGCGACACGGATCTTAAACTCGAATCGCATAAAATAAATTATCAAAAAATTTACAGAGCGTTCAAGAGAGGAGTGTTTCAGACATATTTACCATATCCCAGAGGTTTCTACTTAGATGACACAAGTGATAACTTTCACACGAAGTCCAGTAAATGAGTGTATAAACTATTCGACAGCATACAACATATTTCCCCATAAGCCGATGGCATGACGGGCCAACAAAACAAGGAGTGATACAAAAATATAGGAGCTCGAAATGTCTGAAGAAGATCTCAAAGATAAAGAGCTTGTATTTTCATTTAACCTTACAGCAGGTAAATTTTTAGTGAAGAAGCGAAGATTCAAGGAGGCAATTGAAAGCTTTTCCAGGGCCCTTGCCCTTACACCAAATCACGAAACATGTTTGACGATGAGAAGCAAGTGCTATCTTCTCCTTGGTCAACATGACAAAGCGCTGAAAGATTCGGAAGATGCGTTGGCAAATAATCCCACGTCGAGCACAGGTATTGTGCAAAAAGCGGAAGCGCTATACGCTCAAGGAGAGTTCGAGTACGCTCTGGTTTGCTTTCACAGAGGTAAGAAGCTGAGATCAGATATCGAAGAATTTAATCTGGGAATACAAAAGTCTGCCGAAGCTATCGAAAACGCTATCGGAGATAAGTCTGGGCTGCGATTCTGCCGCATGGGTAAGATACTGCGACAAATACAGGCCAAGAAAGAGAAAGAGATCCAGGCCAGCACGTGGCGCGGCCAAAAGCGTAAGCAATCACCCACCGAGCAGGACGACGCCAAAAAGAACTACGGCTGCAAGACGCTGCTGGAGGAGCTGTCCAAGGACAAGGCGTTCCTGCAGAAGCTGATCCACCACCCGGAGCTGACGGGGCCGTGTAAGGACGAGATCGTCAAGGAGGCCAGCGAGGTGCTCGAGTTCATGCAGACTCGCCAGGAGTTCTGGGGCCAGCAGAAGCCGCTGTACGCCCGCAAGATACAGCGCAAGATGGCCGAGGGCAAGACCACGGTCGATGAGGAGGATGAGCAGCTGCGCCGGCGCATCGACGAGAAGAAGAGCCGCGTGCAGGCCAACCACGAGACGGTGACGCGCCTGCTGGTGGACATTGACGCTACCCTGCAGCGCGCCGAGTACGAGCGCGCCCTGCAGATGTGCGCCGAGGCCGAGCAGACCATCAAGTCGTACAGCCTGACGTGGCTGCCGCGCAGGCAGGCCTACCTCGGCGTGGTGTACAGCGCACTCGGAGACGCCCACCTCAAGCTGGGCCACTACCGAGAGGCGCTCAAGTGGCACAATAAGGACCTCGAGCTGAGTAAGGACAACCCGCGCTTGCTGCACTCGCGAGCGCGCGCGCTCGACAACCTCGGCCGCACTCACGCCACGTTCCGGCGCTACCAGGCCGCCATCGACGCCTGGGAGCAGCGCATCCCGCTCTCGCGCAGCCCCGAGAAGCGCACCTGGCTCTTCCACGAGATCGGCACGTGCTACCGCGAGCTGGGCCGTCATGAGACGGCGCGCTTCTACGGCACCAAGTGTGTCAAAGAGGCGCGGCGTTGCGAGCAGCAGGCGTGGATCATGCGCGGCCTGTGGCTGCTCGCCGAGGCCGAGACCCAGCTGGAGGTCATGGACGCGGCGCTCAAACACTTTGACCAGGCCATCGAACTAGCGACCGCGCACGGCACCAAGCAGGAGGTGAAGGCTCTGGAATCCGCTTGCCAGCGTGCCGTCGAGCTGATGAAGCAACGCGATGCCGACCGCGCCAAGGCCAAGGCACTCTACACTACCGTGGGTGTCATCCAGCCGCGCCGCTCCGTCGGAGGGAACGTCAAGTTCGACGAGCCGGACGAGTCGGAGGAGGAAGCGCAGGAGCGCATGCCGCGACCCAACATCGTGCTCATCGAGGGAGCCGACGAGAGCGGCTCCGTGATCGACATCAGCGACAGTTTCGACGACACTGGCAGCTACGTGGACTGGACGGACGAGGACACGCTGCCGCCAGAGGAGCCTTCCCAGGAGCAGCTGGCCGCCGCGCCGGACGGAGAGGAAGGCGAGGACGAGGACGAGTCCTCCGGCGAGGACAGCAGCCCGCGCTCCTCCGGAGAGGAGACGGGAGTCGCCGCGGCAGCGAGCGGCGATGAGGAAGGTGAGACCGCCGCTGAGACCGAGCAGGAGACGACCGGTGGCGAGACGACGGCGCTTGAGGACGGGGAGGAGGACACCGTCGGGGAGACTACCGACGGAGAGGACGACGGCGAGACCACGGAGGGCGAGGAGGAAACAGACGTCGGAGAGACGACCGAGGGCGGGGAGACGGGAGACACCGCGGCCACCGGCGAGGAGGTCGAGACCGAGGAGGGCGGTGAAGAAACGCAGGCGGAGGACGGAGGGGAGGCTACAGAAGAGGGAGGAGACACCGAGGCGGCGACCGAGGAGACAGGGGAGGAGGAGGCCACCGAAGAAGGAGCAGCGGCAGAAGAGGCTCCTGCGGAGGAGAAAGCTGCTGAAGAGGGAGCGACCGAAGAGGCTCCCGCTGAAGAAGCGCCTGCCGAAGAAGCTCCCGCCGAAGAAGCCCCCGCTGAAGAAGCCCCTTCGGAAGAGGCTCCCGCTGAAGAAGGGGCGGCAGAGGAGGCTCCAGCCGAGGAAGAGGCGACTCCTGCGGCGGAGGAGGCCCCAGCAGACGCCACGGAGGGTGGCGAGGCGGAGGCACCACCAGCAGAAGCCGACGGAGCGGAGGAGGCGCCAGCAGAGCCTGCTGAGGACGCTGACACCCCGGCCGAGTAAGGCCGGCGTACGTTCGACCAACGTACCGTCACTTCACTGTCGTCCTTGTCTGCTGTCAATTTTAGGGGTGCTTTCGTTCGGAAATGTCTTTTGACAAGTGATGTGCTTGAGTACGAAGTGTACACATATGTTCCATCATATCTTAGGGACGTGCCACATATTCTTTTGATGAAAATCCTAGGTGAGGAATGGAATACACGACTACGAACTGACAATAACAAGATATCGTACAGGAAACTTGTCCTGAGTTTAGAGTGGATAGTCTATTTTTTGTTCCGTCGAATACCAGCCGCAGCCTGTCCACAATGGCCGGAATCGCTGGCTGGCATACGTGCATTACCAGCCCGAGCGCGGATGGAGGAGGGGACGGGAGAGCCTCCATCCACTGTCGCCAGCCGACAGAGGACTATCTCTCGTGGACCGGATGCCCCACCGTCTGCACTGCCCTGCTTAGAGACAGTCGCCGGCCCGAACCAGGGCACGCGTCTCACATCGGAGGGCCGACTCGGGTGTGGCGGAAGATCCAAACCGCCGCGGCTCGGTGGCCGGCTGGAGACAGCGCACTGATACCTCGGAAAAGGACCGGAAGTGGCGCACTTCCGTCCAATGGAGGAGCGCAGCTGGAGAGCGTGTGAGGTCAGTGTCCGGAGCAGTGAGACAGCTGCTGACCGGTCTCTGTGACCCAAAAGTCAGTGGTGTGTTGTTTCCAGATCCCATCGCCCGCACTTTTGTCTAAATAGGGATCTTCATTACATGCCCGACTGAAGAGGTGAAGCATGTAATTATTTCATAGAAGCCAATCATCCGCCTAGGAACATTTCTATTAACGTGCAAAAAGAAACTTAAATTAAATCATTAACAAACTGACGAAAATTATGTGTGCCTAGCTACAATTCCAGCTCAGTGAATAAGATGCTAGTTAGCAAATTTGGTGTAAAATGTCAAAATACCCTCCTCATCAACAAATGCGTCATCCAGGAGCAGTTCAGCTACTTTCGATTATCTCTTCATGCGAGTGACCCCCGCTGCACGTGCAAAATGCAAAAGGAAAAGGTCAAATTTACCATTTCAATAGCTAGGTAATTACTTGGGCGATTTCGCCGAAAGTTGGCATGTGGGTAGGCATCTACCAGGCAATGCATTCCTATGTGTTACGATTAGGGTGCTACTGCACGTGCGCACGTGCAGGGGGCGCTTTCAGATCTCGAGAACAGCTAGGTCAATTGCGCTCAAATTTGGTACACAGTTGGGGATCGGTTAGTAGGGTGCTGTGCAAAAGTCAGTTTGGACTCAGTTTGCACGTGCGCACGTGCAGGGTGCCGCTCCCACAGCTCAAGAACGGCTAGGCCAATTGCGCTCAAAATTGGCATACCGCAAGAGACCGGTAAGTGGGGTGCCGTGCACAAGTCAGTTGGAAGTACCCCTCGCACTAGCGCACGTGCAGGGCTGACACCGCGCTCGCTCGTTTATCGCCCCCCAAAGGCTGGTTTCTCTGTCGCCCGCCAGGCGGCGGACCGGTCGGTGGTCGTATCTGGGCCGGAGTTAGCAGTCAACCGCGGCCTCCGGGCCGTCGGCAGTGGCAGGCCGATAGCCGCGTCAGTGAGAGCCCAGCACCCGACATGAAGTGAGAGTAGTGCCGTCATGTGGCCCGCGCTGCAGCTGTTAGTGTTGCTCTGCCACATCGCCGCTGTACCGGCAGGTAGGAAAGCAAACACCCCGTCGGGCTAGTGTACGTATCCTGCCGTAACTGCGGAGGTAGGGCCGACCTTGGACCAGGTGACGGAGCCGTGCCTGACGGCCAGCCGAGACCGGTCCGCTGCCTAACATGGTGCTGCGGGTCGGCAGGAGAGAGTGGGGAGGTTTCACACCGCGTAGGATCCGTCACCGCCCGCCCACCTCTCCTCTACACAGCTGAGGGCTCTCTCAGCTCGCTGCCGACAGCTACAAATAAGCTGCCAAACACCGGCCGGGCCCGGCACCGGCCACGCCAACCAAAACATACCGGGGGCGGGCCGAGCTCTCAGGACAGCGACCGTGCTAAGAGGGACGTCCCAGTGAAAAAAGTCGGTGGATTATCACCGAGCACCAACAGAGGTCACGACTCACGAGACTTGACCCCAGCTGATCAGATCATCAGCTGATCAGACCTTTTCTTACTGGACGGGATCAAACACACCCGATTCCAAGTTGGTTCCAGGCCCAAAATGTCGCAACCCTGGTCTTGTCCAAACAAAACGCATCGATCAAAAACTGGCCAAAATAAAATTCCGCCTCACAAACCGTAGCCTCCACTTGCAAGCATTTTGTGTAGGTCGTTGCAGTTGGGATCAACAATGATGACCTCATGGCTCGTTGGGTACGATTAAGATGACGCTAATGAACTGGATGATAAGCACAAACTGCCATTTATCTTGCTAAAGAATGGCTGCAAAAATATGAACGACTTACACCAAAGAACAAAACTTTTGAACATCTTGCAGACGGTCTAGCCTCCTTCAAATGCCGGACTTTGTAAAACAAGGGTACCTGCAAAAAAAAATCGCGCAACATTATATCACTTAGAAATAATTTTAATCGGTCTGTCAAAGACCTAATCATCATGTCACTGGGAAAAGAAGGACTTGGTAAGATTGATAGCGTTTTTCTTACATGCTGATGTTCGGCACATCTGGTATCTGACACGTCACTCTAGGACATGCATGGCAGACTGATAGGGGAGAGCGGGGCCAGTTGAAACACGGGGTCAGATGAAACATGGCTTTATTTTCAACAGTATGTATGCAACATATGGCGTTGCCGACACCACTGCGCATCCGCGCTCGACCACTTCCTTTGTCAACGGCGTTTGGGCGGCAAACGGACGGTAATTTTGATTTGACACTTGTTTTTGTGTTTTTGAGGGGCGTTTGGGAGAATCGTTTTTATGAATATTTTGTGATATCTCATATACCTACCTTTGTTTGCTGAAAGAAGAACTCCTGGCTCCGGAATAACACCTTATTTGGCCCTTCATTCAGCATGATGCCGTCCCTCCAGCTCGTTTGACATGTGCTTTACGGCGCGTGCGAGGTGGCGGGAGCGGATGGGGTCAATTGAAACGCTTCTCTGAGGGTCAGTTGAAACAGGGCCACAATCCGTTTCAATGGACCCCGGTGACCTTTGCAATGGTTATTGTTCAGGGGCTGTAAACATTAAAGGAAATAGTCCACCTTTGAAATGAGCTTTTAAACTGAAATAGTAGTTTAAAGGGAGATATTGAGCTTTCTTTTTTCTTAAATAAAAATTACTCGACATCTATACTATTTCTACTGTAGTTTCTATAAAATATGAAAATTTCCTAGCACATTTTCGTATGTGAAAAAGGTTTTTATTTTTGCAAAAAAGAGGCAGTACTTGCAGTACTTGTAACACCCACCGAAATGCGTTGTCCTTCTCTATAAAAAAGTCGCAGTATATGGCGCTTTTGTTTCAAACAGCGACGCTTGGGTTTTTGTTTATGTTATCGCCTTGTCGGTGCTTGGTTGTAAGGATTCTAATTTGAATTAGAGTTAATTCGGTTTAGAATTAATTAGATTCTAATTCGGGGGTACATAGCGCGAGAAAGAAATGCGAGAAATGACACTGTTTACATTATTTTGCGCCACAAATGAACGGCATGCGCCAGAAACGCAGCCAAATCTTGCGATTGCGACTACGAAATTCATTATTTTGGCGTCAGAGCCTGAAGCGAAAAATACAAGCATATTTATTTCAAAAAGACTTCAGGTTTGTCGAACGGTGTTATGAGAATTTTGATAACAGTACTGCATAAGTTTTTCAGTGATGCCGCAAAAGTGCTGTATCTATCTTCTTTTATTGTGCAGTCGGCGGGACCGATTCAAAATTGAGTCGTTGCTACTAAAATAGCAGCATATGGCGTCAGATGATGAACAGGAAAAATAGTTGCGTAAATTTAGACATAAACCACCCCCAAACCATGAATATCTTTTGAAGGCACTATAGACGACCATTAACTAACTAGATGTGATGAAGATCAAATGTAAGGAATACGCTCATTTTACAAAATTACATGCAAGTACCAAAAAGTGATGTAAGTACTTATTCAACGGTCATTTTCAGCGCTCCCCGCTAACGTGACTTCAAGTTGAGATATTTGCGGCAGCCGGCAAGGTACCGAATTGAGCAAAATGGTTTTAATTTACATTATAACTTGTTGTGTTTTGTCAGAAAATGGTCCTAACTCAGATTTTGTGGAAAAAGGTCATTATCTCCCTTTAAAGGTAGACTGCCACCTTTTTTCCACAAAACGGTTTTCACTAGAGCTGAGCCACCTATGTCCCAGACTGAAGTCGGTTTTCCGAAATTTGAACCCGTTTGCGAGAAATCGGAGACCAAAGTTCAGTTTGATGCCATTTTTTTAGTCCAAGAAAACCGACATCTCTACTGTTTATCGATAACTTTGAAACATTAATTTTCTTATCTTTTGGTAAATATATGTCAAAACTTTGATTGTTTCGAGATCAGAGAAGAATTTTGGAGTGTCAAAATAAAAGTTAAACTTATATATTCAGTAGTTCATTTTTTCCACAAAAGTGTGGGAAATGGGGTTTAACATGGGCCAGACCCATTCCAAATGAGCCATGATTTTTAAATGTTTTACGAACTTAAATGCAAAATAAATTAAACATGGCCAATTTCTTATGAAATCATATATTAGTAAATCATAAAATACCTTACTTTTTCAAATAAAATGTAATAATCTTATGACCTTGAAGTCTAGTGATGTGTAAACATTGTCGCTAGACATTAACCGATTGATAATTGTATGATAATCGACATTTTTTTCGCGATTCACGTGATGATACTTTGTCAGGTGAATTCTAAAATTTTGTTTTGTCCAGGGAATAAATCATAGGCCGATCTGAGAAAACTTTTTGAAGGTGGCAGTCTTCCTTTAATAGAGCTCAATTTGTGACCCCTTTTTCTCCAGCCTTTTGCTTGAAAGCACACTATAGCCTGAGATATTTCTCATTTTCCTCATCCGCCCATTTTACCATAGTCTATGTACTTTATGTCACCTATTATGAGGAACTTTGCACTTTTAGCTTTCCAACGACCTATTGAATGTAGCATTTGGAAAAGTAAACCGGACAAAATATCTCCTTAAGAAAGTTGCCTTAAAGAGGAAAACATCCCATTGTTAAGGATAGGTGCAATTGACCCCATGGGCTGGTTCAATTGACCCTCGCATCGGGGTCATTTGAAACGGGCGTAGAGCTGTTTTATAAGCATGCGTTTGGCAGCAAAATATGTTTGAAACATAATTTTACATATCTTAAAATAAAGCCAAAAGAGCATATTTTTTCATGGTATTGTGCATTTTTCGATATGACAACTAGAGCTCGCTGTGCATGTCAACATATAAAAAGTGGTTCAACTGGCCCCGCTCTCCCCTAATCTCCCTAATGGCTCCAGCCGACCTCAGGGCGATGACGGGTTCCATCAACACATCAGACGATCCTGTACCAATGATGTGATATGTTTGGGGGGAGACTGACATCAGCTCTTCTGCCCAGCGGTCAGCTCCACCACAAACGTCAACGGAATGGTATCCAACCGATAAACGGTCAATGATGTATCAGAGTTTTAGGGTAGAGCAGCAATCAGGGTGTGGTGCGATAGACCCGCTGTTACCATCCAAAACATCATGGCACTACAGCCTACTATCCGATCGAGCTGGACCATGTAGGGACACAAAATTCACCCTGCGATCCAGTGCGTCATGGAAGCAAGACTGACTACATCATCCATCCCGGTCATGAAAAGACTCATGCTCACTCAAGACATGGTCAAAAACGTTTACCCCATAAGGGCTAAGAAAGACCCACTATTCACATATCTACTTCAATCTGGCCATGAGGACTGCCTGCAGTCCACCATGGACGCCATCTGATCTGCGATGACCAATATGGACTCCCAGGTCATCGTTTGATCCTGCCACCCCCATCGCCCCAACCCGGATCTGCTGACGTCAGGGCGACGTTCATTAGTACAGCGAGTCCACCGGCACTCCAGCTGCATCTAATTAGATAATGAGCGCTCTATGCCAGCGGGCGTGGGCGTGCAGCCGAGGACCGTTAGCCCATGGTTCAAATTCAACCGTCCGAGTCCGTGCTCGTCGGTCCGGACCAATCAGCCAATAGCGTTGCTGCTGCACTTTGCAGCGCTGCGGCTCGGCATTCAGCACTGGCCTCGACTGGCTCCCACACTGGGAACTTTCTGGTCCGACATAAGACCTCCAGGTTCAGTCCAAATTAGACCCTCAGGTTCAGTCCAACATTGGACCTTTATGCAGACAACATTGGACAAAGGCGATTCAGTCGTTCAGTAGACCTTCATATAATGTACTATTGGTCTCAAGATATGGGGCCCAGGCGACCTGTAGTTCGGATGCGGTGAGTACCCTCACCCTCGCCACAACTCGAGTGGGGTTGCGCCGGGTGGGAGGAGGGGTGCACTCGGCCCGAGCTGTGGCGGGGGTAAGGGTATTCACCGCATCAAAGCTAGATGTCGCCAGGGCCCTTATCTTGAGGCCAATAGTCAACGGATCAGTAATAAAAACACCCTTCACTCTTCAGTGGTTAAATCCTAAAACAGACCTCCGTTAAAGGTAGTGTGCCACCTTTGAAAGATTTCCCATTTTATTTTTCCTAGGATAAGAAGCTTCTGTTTTTACCTAATATCGCAAAAAAAAAATCAAAAATGGGCCTGGAATAGTGCCTTTTTCGCCTAAAAGTTTTTCGGTTTTTAGATATGTATAACAACTGTAGTGGGCTCACCTGCAAACAGGCGTCGGGCAACAATCGCGAATGCGGCGCACTTGTGACAATAAGCAAAGGTCATTATAGTGTTACGACCATACGACGTACGGGAATGAGTTATCAGCTGTCTAATCGTAGACAACACAATGTCGAGCCTTAAACTGTAAGCCCGTATTGGTATTGTTTCTTTTATTTGGCTGTCGAACATTATTTATGGTTTGAAATATGATTTTATGTAAAATAATTGATATGAAAAAGCCGTCTTATAAGTCATGACCCCATTTCACCACACGCAAGTGGCAGAAATGACAATGATCAGCTGACGCATTTTTCTTGGCCGAAGTCAGAGCGCGCGGCCCGACGCACCACGCGTATTTGGAAATTCCGACCTCGACGAGCATCAGAAGCCACCTAACAGGCGTGTTCGAAACCGCAGGAGATGATGATGAACGGGTTTATCGAAACTTGATTGGATGAGCATATCGGTAATAGCGATTTCAGTGTGTGCATTTATTGTTCATAGTGGTGTGAAATGTGGTTGGGGTACGACCGACAACCCGTCGGGGCGAATTTCGCACTGGGGTACTCAAAATTTGAAGAATTTAAGACGTTTCCATGAGTTTTGAAGGTATGGATAAGTTCTAAAAATCCGGTTCTCCTTATCTGGGCCATTAACTCCATACGGTCCAAGAAAGCTGGCACACTACCTTTAACACTCTGTCCGGGTGCCAGGCCGGACCTGCAGCAGACCCTCGCCGACCATGCCGCAGTTCGCTCGGTCCAAGTCAGTAGATCCTATTTTTGTCTTCAGCCGAAGCCGTACAGGATGACCCCATCGCCATCGACCATCGATCCCCTCCCCGAACTCCCGAAAGTCGATCGGTGAAGTCGACCGACCCCGGCATCATCATCAGCAGCAGGATCAAAGCCCGGGCCGGAATATCATTGAGTCCTGCCGGCTGAATTGTGGTGATGAGTGCAACACTGAATCTGGGTATCATTTAGGGTGGAAAGATTCGTGAAATAAAGCCCGTAACATGGAGGATCTCTAACAGGATATCTCAACATCCCAACAAGTCACTTAGGATGATCTCAGAAAATCCGACCCCATCAGGAATTGAGCTAGGGTCATCCTCAACGTTCAGTCTCCGCCTTAGCTCGTGACAGGCCCCGTCCCGGGTCACATCCAGTGGCGGCACCGGACAGCGGCGGCGGGGGCGGGGGCGGCTGCAACGTCCGATAGCGTTCGATCGAGGCCGTTGGCCGGCCTCTGAAGATAGTAGCGCCGCCGCACAGAGTTGTTTTCTGTGGAATATGTGCGTGAGTTGAATCCTAAGCTGGTGCTCAATGCCTTTTTAGTCCTCAGTCCTCACAGTCTTCACCTCCTCAATTCGACGTCGGACCGGCTCGAGATTACGAGTCTTCATCTCTCAGTAAGTAGCTGTGAGGGGCGTATGGAAGAGGACTGGACTATCCACTCTCCTGTGAAGGAAGCGATCAAAGCGATTGGTCTACGCACATGATAAGCAGAATACCAGCTTCTAAATGAGGCTCTGCAGATAGATCTGCTGGCCCGAATCGGCATGAACTTGGTCAGATTTGTTCAACCACCCATCCGTGACCAGAATGATTACATCCAGTTTCCCCGAGCAATCAACCCCGCCTCTCACCAAACTCACATGCTGGCATGCCTCCGCCCCACGTTACGTTTTTTGTTTCTATCGCTCCGCGGTGACAGTCCTTTCACAGTGCAGTCCGCACCGCACCCGAGTCTGACCTCGCCCTAGCGCGCCCACCTCTGCCCGACAACAGGCGGTCACAGGGAGACCCAGACGCACACAAACTCGGCGTCCTAGGCGGGTCTGCATTATGTATGAGCGGCGACAGTCGCAAACGCGACGCTCACCGAACTGTCCAAATATGTCGGCCAGTTTGAAATGTCTTCCAGGCCCGGCATTGGTGTGGTTGTTGGTCAAAATGGAGGCTTATTTTAGATATTGGATAGATAGACTGGTGGGTCAAAAGAATACAGAATAATACCAGTAATGTCAAAATAAATCAGACAAACAATCTGCGAAGACAAAGGACAATCGGCAGGCGTAGACGTTTTACTACCAACCACTCTTGTTCACTCTGCAATAGACTGGTTTTGGCGCTCCCAGCTCGTACCACGCCGCAGTGACCAGCTCTGTCAAAGCGTCGTAATTAGAGCGGAGCGGAGCAGTCCGGTCCTGCCGGCGTGCCCAGGGTCTGCGTCACTGGGACTGCCAGACGCTCGGTCATTTGAGCGACGCCCATTAGTTACGACTGTTTATAGTTGAACCCTGCCCCGCTGCAGGCCGCCCTGCAGTGCGGTCCTGACTCCTGGCGTGCCCGTGGTAAGCGCAGTGGCCAGTGGTCCCACAGGTGAATTCGTGTACGGTTGTACCCACGCTGACCAACCACCGCAGTCCGGTCAGTACGAACGCTATCAGTCTCGATCGCCGAGTGCTGAATGCGGCCGGCGCCACCACCACCATACCAGTCGAGTGGCAGTGACAGCGGCCGGCGGAAAGACATTCGCAGTGGTCACGACAGCATGGTGGGGGTCGGGAGGGTGGGGAGAGGTAGTGGGAGCGAGAGGGGGCGGGGTGGGTCGGAGCGGCGAGCCAATATGGCGACCTTGGCCGCGCCAACGCCAACGCTCCGTCAAAACAGCTCTGCTGCTCTGCGTCCGCCGCCGCCGGGTAGGGATAAATCGAGCGGGCGCGCCCCGCCGACCATCTCAATGCTCCGAGCCGGCGAGATATCGATCAGAGTCGGGCATTCTCTGATGGTGGCGCTATCTCGGACAAACTACCACGCGTAGGAGGAGAGCGGTAGACTGTCCGCCCACTCTGCTCAACACCGCGCGGTCAGTGCACAAACTCCACTCTGACAGCGCAACCACAGCGAGGCGACAGAGCAATCAGCAATAACAGACCTACTGTGTGCTGCTAACGCAGTTCTGAGAGCAGACACCGAGCCGCTACTCAACCGAACCGGAAAGAGTCTGCCCCGCCCGGCACTGTCTACCGTCCAACAAAGTCGCGCTGACGATCTATTTGTTGGCCACAGAACAGCGAATGTCGCCCGAAGACAAAACGACGGTCGTTTGCGCACCTATGACGTCATCTGTTAGAGCGGTTTTCCGAGCACAAAAGGAGTATTGTCCGGCACAAAAACGGTGTTGGACGGGGTTAGCGGCAACGAAAATGGGCCAGTGAAAAACGGGGTCTGTGTGGCAGATCACCCATCCAGACGGCGTCCAAATGGGCTCAAAAACCGCCGGCCGACGAGCCTGACAGTCACCTAACGACTAATGACATATGTCAATACCATCTGTGAGCATTGACACTCATCAGTCACTGGTAATGATTATTCCATAATTGACCAGAAACGGCCATTATTGTTATATTTCGAGCCCGCCTACATCCCAGCGGCCAGCGGGTCGAGGTACAGTCGGCGTCAGGGTCGCGTGACAAGGCTGGCGTCACAGAACATCACCATGACTGTAAGTTGCACAGAGGCAGGTCAGGTCAGGTCAGGCCAGCGTCGCTCGGGCTCACTTTTAGACTTAGCTGATGTCACGAAAATAGACGCAGAGCAGAAAAGAAGTCCAAAACGACGCGCGACGCCTGCCGTGTCAAAAACCGCCGTCCTACGTGCTGGTTACGACTCCGGTGGGTAAATATTTACATAAACACAGCGTGGCGCCACGTCGCCATCTGGGGCACATCAGTAGCCACTCATGGAACGTGAGATCCGCCACCGGATTCACCGCAGACGGCGCTGCGGGGGCGGCAGACGAACCTCTCGGTACCAGCCGCATTGATATGTCACGGGATACATCAGCAGACTCACGATGTGGTCAGACCGTGACATCGCGTGATCGCACCGTGATGCCCCGTGATGCAGCGCCGGCGCCTAGCGGGAGGTCATGCGAGTGACAGGAGCGTGACGTTACTCGCACGTCTGAGGGCACGTCAGCCATTCCTCAGAGTCGAAAAGGTCATCCTATAGTTAGCCGAGGACGGTTACCCTTGTTGGTTCTCAATCCCGGCCTCATCTCACACTTACGCCCTCTCAAACTCAGAGTGAACTTTGCAGGGTAAGAGCGCTATAGACCAATGGCAGTTGAGACATCAACTGACGCAGTTGGTTTGCAATGGAAGCGACGCTATTCCAGGCTCTAGATGACAAAATCCATCGCAGGATGTGCGTCAAAAGCGTTTACCACATTTCCGCCCGGCCTGAGTGGGCGTCATTTCATAGAAAACCGAGCGAACTTTGAACTTTGGGAGGGAGGGGGGGGGGGGGGGGTCACTGGACACTGTGCCTTGGGTCGCATCGACTACGAGGAAATCATCTATCATTGAACTTCTACCACAAAACATTCATGGAAAAATTGAGGATAGGAACTGGTGTCTCGTGCAGTGATCTGAGCACTAGTCACTACATCCCACGGCCACCTTGCAGCCCGCAACGGTGAGAACTAAATCTTTACTGGCATGTTGAGCCGGAAAGTGACCCGCAGCGGGTGGAGTGGTATGCGGACATTATGTGAGCCCCATATCCCCATACGTGACACCAGCGCTGTGGAACACTGACTCTTATAACCCACTCACCACCTGTGCCCCCCCCCCCCCCCCCCAACGGTATTCACTGCTGACCCCCGCTGGCGGCATTCACTGCTGACCCCTCCCCTCCCCTGTGACCCCCAGATGCGGACGGTATGCAGTGTTACAGCTGCGGCGGCCTCGTCTCTGACCAGCCCGGTCGCAGCTGCGCCGAGTTCGACGAGGCGCTCTCCTGGTCCCTGTTTGTGGTCACCTGTCCCCAGGACCACATTTGTGTCAAGACCACGTCCCTCTACAGCGGTGAGGAGGACCGTGAGTCATGATGGGGATAGTTGGATCAATGTTGGGAATTCGAGAAAATCGATGGTTGCACCGGGGCAAGGAATAAAACGGAGGGGGGAGGGGAGGAATGGAAGTCAGGGCGCTGGCCAACGTCGCTGTGGTCGAACCTATGGTGAAGCTGACAATGTGAGGTCAGCTGCTAATGCATGTGTGTTATGGCGACTATACTCCAATACGCCATTTATGACCAAAAACGAGTCGAACTAATGTCACGCTGCACGAACTAAGTTACTCTGCGCGATCTAACCGCTACCTCACTCTGCTCTCCTTCCAGGCGAGTTCCGCGGCTGTGGCGCCCGGCAGTCGTGGTACGGACTCAAACACGAGCTCGGCTGTCGAGAGGCGGACATGCCCGACAGCCAGACGCAGTTCTGTTTCTGCGACACACCGCTCTGTAACGCGGCGCCGTCCCAACGGACCGCTCCCGGCCTCGGCATAGTGCTAACTGTGGCAGTGATGGCAGCAGCGGGGGCGGGTGTTCTGAGGCCACATCGGTGACACGAACAGATCGCCCCAGGGGGACAGAAGGACGATCGCAGCCCGAGCTTGCTAAAACTGCCGACAAGGACCCACCGGTGACCTGAACTGCCGTGATAAGAGTGTAAGACAGGAGTGGCGACCAGTCTACTACACTCACCGTCTACAGACACCCAAAGGGACCGGCTGCAGACAGAGTAAAGGCGGACGCCGTGGGCGGCGGCTGCGTGGGAGAGGAGTGTGAGTCACCTCGGCCGACTACCGCCCCCCACAGCAGGACAGCGACCCACGGGAGGTCAGAGGCACGACGGACATATGTGACAGCGGAACTGGCATTAACACGCGACAGTGACGGCTGACGGCTGTCACAGAGTAGCATCCACGCGGCAAAGAACCGACCGTGACTGTGGACTGTGGTGTGTGAGACACAATCCACAGCTAGAACTGTAACCTAAGAGTCACAAGTCACTACTGTGAAGCGGTGATGTAAGCCACGCTACAGCCCGGTCGTGCCGCTCTGGGGGTCTGACTCTGAATAATGCGGGCACGGATCGATATCGCCATGGGGGGTCTGAATAATGCGGCATACCCAGAACGACACTGGGCGACTACGGTCACCGACCACAACCTCCACCGCGTGGTGAGGGCAGGGGCGGCTGCGGGGTGGCGGCGGGGGCGGATACAAAAACGTGATAGCGGTGCGCCCAGTGACGATATGAGCTGACCTGCGGTTTGCAGTGGGCACCACCGATCTAATATCCAGTCACACTGCACGCAGTGGTGATGCATTGCCAACAGTCATAACCTCAGTGATTGTGGTTGTTTTCGCCTCTACGAAGTCAATGTATGTATGCATCCATGTATGAAGTTGGATATGAAGGTAGGGGCTTCTTGATGACGCTTACGAATATATGTGGCAATAAAAGAACGCACACACCATTTACTAGCCGTGCGACACGCGTGGAAGCCAGCCCTCTCCACACATCAAAGCGCGCAGCCAACCTGACGCAGATCGGACGTGCCTCCTGCTGAATCTGCGCCAAACGAGCTGGCAGGCCGAGCTCAACTATGAGCAATCTCCCCGAAAAGATCTCGGGAGTTATACTGGGATGTGGGATAAACACCTTCGCTTGCCAGAGACAGGCTTAGTCAGTTCAGCTGGGTTCGCTTGATGACGTCAGAGGACCGACACAACGATCCAAAAAGGGCATCAACCGTCGATATGAACCACAGAAAGAAAATGAATCCAAAAACCATTAATCCCCAGCTGATGAAAACCGAGATGAGCTCCGAATGTACCAGATATGCAACCGGACGGAGGTCTGCCAGAATCGCTAACCCAAATACCGCCATGAGATAATCGAGCATAAACGACCATATCTGCAGAGTAAATTCTGGGGTTCGATCGCTGGCCCCGTGAAGGTACTAATTTAGCTGACAAACGGTGACTGGCAAATCTGGTCAATAATCACCGCCCGCACGGCCAGTCAATCGCAAAGTTATCGTCATTTGCAAAGAACAAAGCTCCACGCACCAAGTCTAGGGGAGTTTCCAATCTGAGATGCTTGTGTCTTTGAAGTAAATTAATTGTTCGATCACAGCGCTCATCCCACCCCGAACGAACCAGCCTCACTCGTATGGTACAGAGAATCGCCGGCGGCGGTGGCCGCAGCTACTGTACTCACGGGTGCGTTCTGTCGGTTGTGGTCCCGCAGATCCAGCGCCCGCATCTTGTAGATGAAGCCGCAGGCCAGGCCGCGCTCCTGCGCGTGCTTGTTGATAATCATGGCGTCCTCCATATCGTAACCCTATAGGCAGGGTGTTGGACTATGTGTTGGAAGACTGACGAGATGCAAGGGACACGACATCAGAAATAGATACACTGGTCACCTGCCGGGAGCACACTCCTGCAGCTTTCCTGTTGAACTTACTAATTAGCCTGACAACATTTGCATCAACTTACACGTACCGCGGGTTGTTCGTACACTGTCCAGAGCTAAGCTCACTGTGATATGCTAGTTTCACCAGCCACTGACTATCCGCAGCATCCAAGAGTCACTGACTGCAACATTCTAGCTGCACGACATCGGAGATTCACAGCCCTGTACTCACCGTGTAGGAGATGACGGCCACGATGGCGTTGGTGCCCTGTCCGAAGTCGTCCATGGCCAGCGCGTCGTGGTGGGTGGGGCGGAACAGCGGCGCGTGCGGCGTCTGGGGACACAGTGGTACGGGGTCACGGCGGAGGCCGACGGGATGGACAAGGCATTTCAGTGTGGTGAGAATGGTAGCAAAGTCGGAGGCGCGGGAGCGAGTAGCATGTCCAAGGAAACGAATTACCAACAGATCAAAGCAGGGTCTTATCGAAAAAGCACAATTTCAAAAAGTAGGCTTGGCTGAAAGACATAGTGTACGTACAGAGTTCCCCCAGGCCAGCATTTAACTATACTAAGAAGATTGCTAGAAGACAGAAGGACGTACTACTAGGTACTTTGCCCCAAATCCATCCATACCCCAATGAGCGTCCCAGCGGTACGGACCTGCAGCCGGTAGAGTTTGTTCTCGCTGCAGGCCGGCCAGTTGTGTCTCGGAGTGCCCATCGTCTGCTTGCTCATCTGACACTGGTACATGTTTCGGGGCGACTGGTTCAGGTCGGAGAGCGGCACCAGCAGTCCGAGACTGGAGAGCAGCGAGGTGTCCGCCAGCTCCGCGTGAGAGTACAGCGCCAGGGACTGGAGGGGTGATGGTAGAGGAGGGTCAGACCACACGCAATACACACACAGCCACACCCACATGGTGAGAGTACAGCGCCAGAGACTGGAGGGGTGATGGTAGAGGAGGGTCAGACCACACACAATACACACACAGCCACACCCACAAGGTGAGAGTACAACGCCAGAGACTGGAGGGGTGATGGTAGAGGAGGGTCAGACCACACGCAATACACACACAGCCACACCCACATGGTGAGAGTACAGCGCCAGAGACTGGAGGGGTGATGGTAGAGGAGGGTCAGACCACACGCAATACACACACAGCCACACCCACATGGTGAGAGTACAGCGCCAGAGACTGGAGGGGTGATGATAGAGGAGGGTCAGACCACACGCAATACACACACAGCCACATGGTGACAGTATGGCGTCAGAGAATGGAACGGTGATAGTGGAGGTTAGAGTACGGGGTTAAACCTGGAGGTCAGTCAGGTCTAACGTAGGGCGCACAGTGTACACACTAGACAACCTTAGACGATTAGTGAAGTCATCGACGCAGGTTATACATTACATGCTTTGAAATGTGCATCAGCTTGGAGGGTTGTATAAAAAAAAAACAGTTATGTCTCTGGCTCATTACAAACGGAACTCTTCCCATCCCAGCAGGTACCCGTTTGCGCTCTACGTACCTCCGTGGGCACCTCTCGCAGGTTGACGGCCACGTTCATGTACACCTGTTCCAGTGTACCGATGTACTCCACCTTCTGACAGGCGAGGTTCAGCACGGGTCGCATCAGGCGCGCGTCGCTCGAGTACAGGTACAGAGCGGGGTACTGTCCGCCGGGCCCGCGGGCCGGGATCAGCGCCACCTCCAGGTACTGGTACACCTGGTGAGGGGAGAGGGGTACGTCAGCACACGTAACCGGACGCAATACTCGGCAACAAAGGGTACTGCTACGCTAAATAACAGAGGATACCGATGACCAGACAGGACGGCGCGGCGTATAAACGCGCCAGGGGATGTAGAGCGGAAGAGCTGATTCTAAGAAATTTTACGAGGCTAACATGAAAACGGCAAGGCACCAAAACTTATCTCTCAGTTGTCCTTTACTCACACGCATTACGTACAGCAGGCAGAAATTACTTAAACTGCCGCGCGACGCTCGTTCTCGGCGAAAACCATCTCGCCCACTCCAGCTTTAGTCATGAAGAGAACGGGCAAAACAAACAGCACGAACACCCCAGAGTGAACCACAGCGCCGCGCGCGCGTCCCGCCTCCGTATTCACCGCTCTCACCTCTCCGTGACACTTCATGTGCCGCAGTTTGTTGACGAGCCGCGGCGCGGCGGCGTGGCTGACGAACCCAATCACGGCTCCGTCCAGTAGAACCGTGTAACACTGCCGACATAGGGCGAGGGTAGTCAGATCGCCTCCGTAGACTGAAACGCACCGTGTAGCTCACATGACTACGAGGGCATTTGCCGACTCAGGTAGCTGATGGCCCTGGGCACTTCCAGCGTGGCGAAGGCAGACGAGAACGCACTTACAAGTAATACACCACACTTACAAGTTAGCTTCAGGGACATCAGATGATTGCGGGTCAATGTCAGCATGGCGAGAGAAGGGGCTGCGCCCATTATCAACCAATCGGGATAGCACAGTGATTACACACGGGAACCTCAGCGACATCAATGCTTGAAGAGCAATGTTGATACACACTGCGATCAGACGGAACAAAGCGAGATGCTACACGGTGACCACTTTGAGAGGACGAAAGGAGCGCACGGTATATCCTCGTTCATTCATATTCAGGCAATGGTGCTCTCATACGGCTTTATCTTGTGTTGTGTCTACCGTGACGACTCGACAGTACCATGACTACCGTGACAGCCCAGTGTCACCGTGACGCACCTGTTTGGCGGGCCGCGGCTGCGTGACGGGCGTGACGCCGAGCGCCGTGACGGTGGCCGTGATGGCGGCGCGGTCCGGCTGGCCGGCCGTCACGTGACACGTGGTGGTCAGGTGGTTGAGCAGACCGCACGGCGCGCCGTCCGGCGTGTGTACCGGGCAGATGAAACCTGATGGAGACCGGCGGCATAGCGGTCAGATGGGCCTCGTACTTATTAGGGCCTCTGTGTAGTGGCATCGAGATTATTGACACAATTCGCTGCGTAAAAAAAAAAAACACTTTCGGCTGAGCCGAAGAAAATGTGAAAATGATAAGCAAGAAAATATTATATTATTTTGTATACAAATAGACTGCTAATCACAGGAAAATCTCTTCAAAATGTCCACTCTGTGGATAATAATATAAAGAACATCCCACTCCATGACACGTCTGCGTCTCCTTATCGGCTCGTCCCGTCTCTCACCCCAGGCCTCTGGAAGCATCTGCCGCACCGCTGTGGTGCGCATGGTGGAGAAGAACGAGCCGCGGTGGATGGTCCGAAAGTGCGACATGTAGCGCGTGTAGCTGATCTTCTCCGCCGGGACCGAGAGGCCCACGTTGTCCGAGCAGATGATGTTGGGCAGAGCAGGGATGTTACCAGTGCTGACGAATGACCGCACCATGGCACCGATCGGGTTGAGCTGCTTGAAACAGTGGGCTACCTCCACTGCAGGGGGGGGGGGGGAGGGGGACGGTCAGAATCCTAAGTGAGTCAGGATGGAGGGTGGGTAAATGTAAGTAGGCAGGGTTGTGCGAAGCGGCCAGGTGGGGAGGTGTGTTAGAGCGGGCGTGCTATGACTGTGGTGACGGGGACACTGATAAAAGGACAGCACTCAGTCATATTACTAACTGGCACCCGTCACAACGAAAGGTTGGTTAAGTAAACTAGGCTCGCAATTTTAATGGAAAACAAACCCGTGATGATTTACTTACAAATTCATGTGACAATTTAGAACACTGAATATCCGAACCATAACCATAATCAATAATAATAAGCGTCGTGAATATATTGCCGTCCACAGTTGAAAGTAGGGAACCAATAAAGAGAAACAATCATCACGTTGGTTTCCTGAAAAGGGCCCAAAACGGGACACTGATTGCCGCTGACATCCACTCACTCTCAGTGATGTTGTACTCGGTGGGGTTCTTGTTGTAGCGCTTCACCATCACCAGTCGGAAGTTGCTGCAGAACATCTGCACCTTGTTCTTGATCACCTGCTGGTAGATGTAGCTGCCCTGCTGCGCTTCCTGTGATGGCACAGACAGAACGTCACCGGTCAGAGCACAACTGAGCCCCGTGGCAACTCATGTGTTAGAGGTGGGTCAGTCAGGTCACATGCTGGACAACGTTCATGAGATCATAACGAAGTTTTTTATATGCAACCATGAACCAAGACAGCCTACAAATAAGAAAACCAACCAGGGTAACCAATAAATGCATGTCCTGTATTTATACTAACGACCTACCACACAGTCCAACTTTCAGAAGACGAGCACGCGTCAGTCGCGGATTTCCTAACTCACCCATAGCATGGGGTTGTCGGCGCTCTCCTGAGCACACTCTTTGCGCACGTAGGCGAACAGTTTGCGGATCATGAAGCAGAGCACGTTGACCTTGTCCTCGCCGGAGTTCAGGTGGATCAGCACCGTGTCACTGCGGGGGTCAGGGCGGGTCAGCGGGGGGTCAGCAGGGGGTCAGGGCGGGTCAGTGTGGGTCACTGCGGGGTCAGAGTGGGTCAGGGTGGGTCACCCAAGGACAGTATAGGCCATCTGAAGGTCAGCAGAGTAATCGAATCAAAATTACATTTTTTTCTTCAAAATGTAGCGAGTTTAGTAACGGGTAAACAAGCCGAGTTAGTCGTACCACTGAGATTCGTTGTCCTTAAACTCCCATTAAACTGACGTTAAACGTTCCATATGGTACCTTCTATGTGCTCGGCATCCCACCACCCTTTCTCAACTTCCGAAACCGTCTACCTGCCCGCCACTCACTGCAGCAGCGCGTCGCAGACGGCCTCATCGGGCTCCCAGTCGGGTACCCTGCCGAGCAGCTTTCCCCGGTACATGGCTCCCAGGTAGCGCCGCACGCTCAGCTGACTGGTGAGAGGAGTGGCCACCTCCGACTGCACGTCCCGCAGCATTGTGGCGATACAGCTGACGAAGGGAGGTGACAGTCATTGAGCCAGTCGTGAGGAGAAATGTGGTAAAGAAGAGTCTGTTTTATAGCTTGATTTTACCTCCTAATGAATGCTAGCATGTAGTGCAACGGCTTCCTAGGGGGAACATCAATTTCTAAGGACACGAACACACAAATACATAAATCATCAATTGTGTAACGACTTAGCGTTCACTGACTTTCTGTAGTAGTCGGAGTCGCCTGGTTCGGTCAGCCGCCGGTAGATGTCTCTGTCGGTGATGTCCATCAGGGCCCGGATCACCAGGATGGGCGATATGCAGAACCGCTCCTTGCGGTAACGGAAGATAAACTTGGCGCTGCCGTTGCTCAGGAAGTGCATCACGTTCATCTGAAGGCGGCGACGGAGGGTGGCGTGTGTCAATTCCATGCAACAGCGCATACAAACATATTCAGTGCGCCCAACATAAATTTACGTACATCCACGCAGAAAAAAAAATGACTTGCAAACAAAGCGACAATAACGTCAGGACAGTTTAGTGAAGCATCAAGAATTGCAATCATTTCACAAAAGCAACGTCACCATTCAGGCACCAGTGATCACCATGACAGTGCTCCTCTTTTTGCCCATGACTAATGCAGTCCAAGCGCCCTATAAGACCAGTCCCACTATCATCACATTCACACTCTTTCCCTTCTCCCGGTAATTTCCTCTCACTCTATCCCCCCTCTCACCGCCAGCGAGTGATCGTCTGTCATGCAGCGCATCTGCACGGCGTGTTCGGTGAACAGACTGCCGTAGCTCTTGTACGAGGTGCGGGTCAGGCAGACCGGGTAGTTGCGCCGGGTGGCCACCTGAGCGGGGGGGGGGGGGGGTCACGGGTCAGATAAGGAAAGACGGATTTGAGACAGAAACACACATACTTTAGAGGGACAGGCAGAGACACGTCCGGTCGGAAACATCCCAGGTCGGCAAAGTCAAATACTGCAAGAACACACACGCAGCGGCATCATACACATGCATAAATACGTAACGGTCGAGCACACTGGCACCATCCAGACATCAAAATAAACACAAAAGCAAAAGCTGAAAACTGAAATGTATGCACACGGCGACTCCACACAGGAAATCAGTCGACTGTGAATCTAATTACTCGTCGACATAAACACATCCCTTGCCCCCTTCTCCTACAGGTTCGAGTTTGACCATCCCTGAGTAGGCCGAGCCGGTTTTAAATAAAACCAAACTGGAAAACTATCTCCTCTTTAACTGACCTGCAGTCTGAGCAGCCGCTCCTGTCCGCGTATGATAAAGTAGCCGCCGAACTCCGAGTCAGTCTCTCCGCGTCGGACCAGCTCGGCCGGAGACAGGCCGTGGAGGTGGCACAGCTTCGACTGGCGAGGGACACGGGGCAATGTGAGGCGTCAGAGACGAACGGTAATGTACAAACACAAGCTAATGAGAGTCGTTAGAGGAATGGAATATCAATACACCTTTTTCGTGGGACAAGCAAAGACAGCGTAAATGACGTGATGGCGCGCAATTTTCTGCACACTGGAACACCGTCCTCAGACACAGAGATGGCACACAAATACCACGCCTCTTCACTTCCCTTCCACTCCCCTCCCCTTACCCCTTCCCGTGACTCCCCTCCCTCCATCCACCCCTCCGTCCAACTCACGCCGACCATGACGGGCACCTCTCCCAGGGACCGGTCCATGGCGATGCACGTGGCCCCGTTCACCGACACGGCAAAGTGCGCCACCAGCTGCCCGGTGTAGTCCCTCAGACCGGTGCGTGCCTCGCTCGGGAATACACGGGCGTCTGTGGCGCCCACGTTAGACATTGGTACACGCGGGGCGGTGATCCTGCCACCCTGAAATGGGGGGGGGGGTAGTCACAGAGACGGGCTGGTCCAACAGCACGAGTAGGAGTTGGGCAGGTCACAACGATTTGATTTGAGAATGTCTCTTATCGTGATTGCAATAACAATTGATAGTGGTTGACTGAAAAAGAGCTCTAGTTAGGCTAGACGAAATAAATGTCATAACTAAAATACAACATTGACCGCAGGTAATCGATGGATTCTATTTTGCTTCAATAAAAATGAATTTTGTTTCAATTTCTCAGAATTTGTTGGTCAATTCATCGCAGAGTGTTACAGAGGCAGCTGCCTGACACCAGCTATCCTCTGCCACAGTTCACACCGCCGCCTCACCAGCACGCGCAGAGCGACCTTGGTGTTGTCCGGGAGGGCAAACTGCACCGGCGGTATGGAGGCCAGCGACATGGTGAGGCCCCTCTCCACGACATCGTTATAGGCCTCTATGTGAGGCTGCGACAGAGCCCGCAGCACCTGGAAAACGTAAAACAGAGCGTCAAGAAATGCACACCAAAGTAGTGTATGTACTACCGCCAAGTGATCGCTCGGGGCATTTGGACGCCCGTTTGGCAGGGACGTGGCGACGGGGACTACTCGGTTGGAGGTATCGTGTGGGTCTGCCGCTGGGAAGTGGCACAGAAGACCTGTCTCGACTCTCGGGCAGAGGAGCAACGCAACATGTGCTATATCTTTTCCACAAAATGGGTAGTTGGCATACCTTTAGTTCATTTACACTAGCACTATATATTCATTTTAATCATTAGGTACTACAAAAAGTCTGCTAGTTTCTAGCATAGATCACTAAATACATAACTGAAGAAAAAAGTTCAGAATAAAGAAGCAATTATTTAAAACTAAGGCAAATGAATATGCAACATCACTGTCATACCTTGTTCTGAGTTTTGCTAATTTTGCCAAAGTCCTTTGTGAGATTCTCCAGTGACGGTTTGGCTGGAGGCACATAGACTTCTGGTGTGGGCCCCGGAGCCATGGCAGAGCCACCTGAACAGCTGACCTTGTTTGACAGCTAAAGCAACAACTGGGCTGAAAAGAACACTTGTAAGTAGCAAAACCAGCAGAACCTTTTACCTTCCTGAAAGGCAATATAAAACCTAAAAGCAGTGCCTGACTTGCTACCTTAAATTTACTTATTTATAACTCAGAATATATACATGATATAAGCAAAAACATTAGCAATGTATAATTTATAATTATTCATTACTACCTACATTAAAAATACAACTACCCACCCATCTCAAAATTCTCAATTCTCATAAAAAATGCAGATCCTGTCCTGCCAACAGCTGAAATGTCCAGAACTCTAAATCTTTGATTACTACCTAGTACCTACCTAATGAATATTCAAAATATCTGGGACAGACTAATGTCAACCAGGTGTTGTAAGTGTGAGCACATTGAAAATCAGCAAAGACTTAACGATAGGCGGTGTGGATTTGTTTGGAGCTGAGTGAGCTTAAGCTCTGCACTGTGCTGAACACATGGCATTGTCCCAGAAAATTACAAACATAATCAAACAATGGGTCATCCAGAGAAGTGGGATTAATGACCTTTCAAAGCCTTCTTCCTTTTTGGAAGTAAAATCTATCGCTTCTCTTTTAAATTTGTAGGTAAGCCTTTTTGTTGCAGACTAATGCAAGTTATTCATCCTGACCTGTTGGCTGTTGCAGCTCATCATATCCGCTTCCATACTTTGCATTGCAATATCGCCCTGAGGCCTGGATATTTGGAATTTCCTTATCTGTGACTTAAAATCCTGTCAATTCTGCATGTCTCCTTCTCATATGCCTATGACTGATCATGGTTGCCATCTTGACATACATGAAGCACAGCCAACCTAATGTAAATACTAGGTACCCAGCTGGCACCCAATTTAGCTTTAATTGCAAATCAACTTCAGTGTCACACAGTGTCTGCAGATGTGCGGCTCCTGAGGTAAAAACGGCGGGGGCTTAGCTAGGTAGCCCGTAGCCGCCAATCGGGATGGAGGGAATCAAGCGCCAGCGTCCGTCACCTGGGCTGATTGGCCATTTAGCCCCACCTTTTTTACCTTGGGAGCCGTGGCGACCACAGACACTTAAAAGTTGAACAGGGCCCAGATGAACTGGAACAATTTAGAAAATCAAGCAGGCCATGTGGGCAACAAAGTGAAAGTTGAAGTGGATGGCCCCTGGGACGGGCATTTCATTGATTTAAAAGCTAGGCTGCAATCTAACTAATCTTGAACTAAATAAAAACTTTTCACTGTCCGCCATGGCATGAAATCAGCACGATGAAAGAAAAATTAAATGGTAAGAAACGCGACAAAAACACAACAGGGATTACTATATATCGATATAGAATCCTCTTATTTCTCACGCGTGGTTTAGGCTGGGTTTAGGCACATGTGGTTCAGTGCCAGTGGTCGGAAGTCACAATTTTTCTTATCATGCGTGCAACGGCTCGCGATAGCAGTATAGACAAAAATGACGTCAAAGCCTGTTTGATTTTGACTTTGACGCTTTATTTTGCGTTTTATTCACACTTGATAGCATCAAACAAAAGACGAAAAGCACATAAAACAGAAATAAATTGTGAGAAATGAATTCAAATTGCTACAAAGTACAAAGACTGAAAGTGTTAAATGCTATAAATACCTTCAGTACCTACAGAACACGTAATTGTATGTCACAGCTGCGCAAGAAATGGAAGATCACTGTGAACGGGGCCGTGTAAGCGACTACGAAATTTTAATTGCTGCGAATCAATGTTGCAGTAGTTTTGTGATATGCCGCGAGTTCACGAATCTGCTGCAGTAAGTCAGACATTCGGCCAGGCAAAATATGCTGATCTGGTAGCGGATTCGCCGAAAGTCTGTATACTTACCAGCACTCAGCAGCAGATTCAGAATTCGCCTGCCCCGAATATACCGGCTGCCGGCAGCGGATTCGCCGAGCCGAATGTTTGCCTACTGGCTACTATAGTAGCATATTCGGACCGATACTTGAGACGCAGTGGAGACGCGTGGTAGAAGTAATATTCGCGAAGCTGCTGCCGATAAAGGAGATATTCGCCGAATCTGCTGATCGGGCGAGTGTTTGTCCGCCGTTGGGACATTCAATGCCTACTGGTAGGTTGTGGAATGGAATTCGGTAGGGAATTCTGACCGGTGCATAGGCGTAGGAACAGGGGGGGCCGGGGGGGCCATGGCCCCCCCACTTTCGGAGGTGGGGGGGCCAGCAATGTTAACTGGCCCCCCCACTTTTTGCTGACTTAAGTGTCTGTCTGTACCTAGGTACCAGTGCTACCACCCGGTAACTTGACAACAATTCAGCTTGCCCTTTAATGAAGATTCCCTTTTGTTTCTACAGCATTATTGACCGCAATTTCCTTCACTCAATGAAGGAAACCATATCAGAGACAAGACTGTGGGTCCTAGTGACAGCATTTTGTTGAATACGAGGCACGGGGCAGCGAGCACTGAAAAGGTATAAGACAATACTAGCACGGTGCAGGAGAATGCGTATACAAGCGACCAACGCTTGACCGGATCTGCTTGGGGTCGGCATAGTTCGTCAAAGGCGTACTAGCTGGGGGCCAGGGTGACCATGCCCCCGCCTCGGCTCAAACAGGCTGGGGGCCAGCAATGTCTGTATCTGCCCCTTCCCTTCCACTTTCAGTGCAGTGGCGCTGGCGGTCGCAGAGGGGGGATCAGGGCCATGCCCTTCCCCCTCCAAAGGCTAATCAGGGGGCCATCATATCATTTGCCCCCCCCCCCAAACAACCAATGGGCCCCCATGGGCGTATGGGGCTCTGGCCCTTATTCGATTGTCACGAGGCTCAAGAATCCCACGCTAGCTATTAACAGCTCCCAAGCCAGTCTTTGAGGGTCCTACACTGATCTTGGAGGGCACTTCAGTGGCGGTCAAGCGCCGACATTGACCGCTGAGAACCCACATTGACCTCATTTGAGGGCCCCTAAACCGGCCTCAAGGGCCCAGTCGGCGTCTGAGGGCCTCACACCGGCCTCTGGTGGCCTCATTTCTGTCTCTGGGGTCCCAAGACTAACCCTCTAAGGTCCGCATCGGCCTCTGAGGGTCCATCTTGGCCTTAGAGGTCCAACGCCGGCCCATGCCGGTCTTTTAGGGCCCCACACTGACCTCTAAGGGCCCATGCTGGCCTGTAAGGACCCGTCATTAGCCTATGAGGGCATTGTACGGGATTCTGAAGACCTGATGCCGGCCTCTGAGGCCCATCTTTGTTTTTGAAGGTCTTCTGCTGGTCTCTGGGGTCCAACACCGGCCCATGCTGGTATTTTAGGGTCCCACATTGACCTCTAAGGGCCCCGCACTGGATTCTGAAGATCCTATGCCGGTCTCTAAGGGTTCGCATAGGCCTCTGAGGGCCCACCTTGGCCTATGAGGGCCTTCCGCTGGTCTCTAGGTTCCAGGTCCCGCCCATGCCGGTCTGTTACGGCCCCACACTGACCTCTAAGGGCCCATGAGGCCTGTAAGGACCTGCATTAGCCTCTGAGGGCCTTGCACTGGATTCTGAAGACCCGATGCTGGCCTCTGAGGCCCATCTTGGTTTTTTAGGGCCTTCTGCTGGCCTCTGGGGTCCAACACCGGCCCATGCCGGCATTTTAGGGTCCCACACTGACCTCTGAGGGCCCATGCTGGCCTGTAAGCAGACTTGTGACAGCTCAAGAAAAAAGTGAGCTCGCTCAGCTCAACTCCGTTTTATCCGCTCCCGCTCAGCTCCCGCTCAGTTTAGCACGGCTCAGCTCAGCTCACGCTCCGCTCAAACCGGCTGTGCTCAGCTCAGCTCAGCTCAGTTTCCGCTCAGCTCAGCTCAGCTCAGTTTCCGCTCAGCTCAGCTCAGCTCAGCTTCCGCTCAGCTCAGCTCAGCTCAGTTTCCGCTCAGCTCAGCTCAGCTCAGTTTCCGCTCAGCTCAGTTTCCGTTCAGCTCAGCTCAGTTTCCGCTCAGCTCAGCTCAGTTTCCGCTCAGCTCAGCTCAGCTCAGTTCCCGTTCAGCTCAGCTCAGTTTCCGCTCAATTCAGCTTAGCTCAGTTTCCGCTCAGTTAAATTCACGCTTAGATCGTTCAGTCGTTCTTTTTAGATCGGACATGCTTAACCCTCGCCCGTATAGGGGGGGGGGGGGTCGAACGGACCCCCCCTCTGTTTTTCGCGAATAACTCGCGTAAAAAGCGGCCGATCGCGACGAAACTTTCAGTACCCTCGCGATAATCAATTTTACACCTATCCTGAAAATTTCATGACCCTGACCCTAATGACCTTTGACCTGTGACCTACTTTTCGAGACCATGTTTGGCCGGAATCGCGATTCGGCGTATGTCGGCTCGCATTAGCCGCGCGTTAGCAGTCTTTTTGTGGTTTCAAGTGTTCAAACATGGGATATGATGTTGCTCCCATGCATTAGGGTGGGTGTCAAGGTCAACGGAAGGTCAGGTCAGGTCATTGACCTTTGATGACCTCGGTTCACTTTTTCGAGTTTTAGATGTTTCTAGGCTAGTTTTTGGAGCTGAATTCGAATTTAGCAACCATTTGAACATTAACGAAGCAGTTTTGGTGCCTTCGTAACATGTTACGAAGCTGTCAGAGGCTACTACGAATACCCGGCAAAATCCTTACTGGTTGACCTGACCTGACCCGACCTGGCCTCAATGCATAAAGACATCATCAGTGATCATAACTAACATGATATTCGTGATCAGCACCCCGAAAAACCCCATAGCAGCCACGTTTTACGACGTTCTAACAGGTCCCGATTTTCCCGACTTTTGGGTCATTGACCTGACCTGGAAGGTCAACCGATAACCTAGGACCTTAAAATTGGGTATCATCGGCTTCCTCTCGTCGCGGGCAGCACGCTCGTTTTTTTCCGCGAAGCTCTAGCTCGATCATGGGGACGAAACGGCAAGGGGGGGTCCAACGGACCCCGCCCCCTTATACGTTCGCGGCTGGAAAAACACCAATACGGGCGAGGGTTAAAAAACAGACCAACTCTTGGCGCATAAGTAAGTCTCCTCTAACAAGGAGCGAGGCAACTTACACAATGGGCAAAAGAGATAAGCTCATTAAGACCTTGAGACTTTGCGAGTCGTGCGTCTACTTGGACTCAGACTATAGTTACATGAAATGGACTGTTCTTGGCAGTGTTATCACATGTTATCAGAGTGTGCACCCGCGATGTTAACATAACATATAAGTTCAAAATATACGAACGAAAAAAGTCTGGACGAAAAAGTTTACAGACGAAAAAAAGGTACAGACGAAAAAATGCCAGACGAAGAAAAGTCGGACGAAAATCTGCTAGACGAAAAAAACGCCATGGAATCATCTCAACTAGGCGGTGTTTCACGGCCGAGAGCAGCGCGTGGGCGCCGCCATCCGCTCTTGGCACCCTGCCAGGAGCTGACGTTACATTTTGGGGTAGTGTTGGAACTTGGAGATAAGAGTTTGTTTATATCTCCATGGAAACCCCATTTGACACGTGTGATAGCAGCGTGCTGTTATCAGTGTCCAGTGAAACCTTGAGTGAAACCAAACACCACCCTGATCTCAACCAAGGCAATGTCAACACAATTAGAATTCATAGTCGGCGTGTGAATAAGGGAGCTTTTCCCATATTATGGACATCAGAAGGTGAGAGTTCCAGTTAGCGCCTCTGCCCCACCCCACTTTCAATAGGATATGGTTGCTTAGCCCACATTCAACCAACGAAGAGGAACATTATTTGCTAATTCCTAATTGTAAATATTTTATGCAGAGGTAAGAAACCTTATCGATAAAATTAATTTAAATAACTGTTTAAATAACAAAGTGAAGAATGCTGAATTGTACATTGCGGAGCAGAGTGTCAAGGCGAAGCATCAAAGCCTGACAGTAGGTATTCATCTTGCAGTCAGACTTGAAACTTGAGACTGGCTGTACCTATTAGCCTGTAAATTGGCCAAGACCCTGGTCTTCCAATTTCCATGCAATATGGATGAAATAAATTAAGCTTGATTAGTGATTAATATTGATTTCTTTAGAGTTTTGATATTTTTAAGTGCGATCACGAAGGCAGTGTAATTGCTCACTCCATAGCTAGCTCATAGCTGAAGCATCAAATCCTGAGTTAATTTCCAAGCATGAACTGAAAAGAATTAGAACTGGATCAGCTCAGCTCAGCTAAATCAGCTCAGCTCAATCAGCTCAGCTCAGCTCGCTCAGCTCAGCTCAGCTCAGCTCAATCAGCTCAGCTCAGCTCAGCTCAATCAGCTCAGCTCAGCTCAATCAGCTCAGCTCAGCTCAGCTCAGCTCAGCTCAGCTCAGCTCGCTCAGCTCAATCAGCTCAGCTCAGCTCGCTCAGCTCAGCTCAGCTCAGCTCAGCTCAGCTCAGCTCAAGCTCATTCAGCTCAGCTCAGCTCAAGCTCATTCAGCTCAGCTCAGACAGCAGCTCAGCTCAATGCATTACTGAGCCGGCTCAGCTCACAGCTCAACAATTTGGCAAAATGTTGAGCCGGCTCATGAGCTGAGCTGATTTTTGAGCCGGCTCAACTGAGCTGATCACAAGTCTGCCTGTAAGGGCCCACATCAGCCTCTGATGGCCCAAGTCGGCATCTAAATGTCTCATCCTGCCCTTTGCAGGCCCTGTACTGGTCTCTGAGGGCCTCAACCCTCACCGGCCGATGGGGGGGGGGATGCCGCCCCTCCATAGTTTTTTTTTCGCGATAGCTCCGAACACGCCGGTGATAGAGAGCTGAAGCTTTGCATACCTGACCTTTGAATCAAGCCGGATCTTTTGACACCAACCGCATTTTCGGGTCAGATCAGGTCACTGACCCATGAGGTCATAAGTGAACCTCTGCACGGTCTTCAGATGTCGCAACTTCGCAACGCCCTCACTGCCAGAGGAGATTTCACAGGGAAATGAACCTTGGAGGACCTAGTATCCATTAGGAGTCTCACAACTTGTACATCTCGGATTTTTCCTAAGGTCATTTTCGTGACCTCACCATTAGGTACAAGTCAATGGGGATAAACTGAAAACTTTTTCTGGCGCCGTAAACGATCTTCAACTATCTCAAGCACACTGAATCTTTCATGCACTCCTTGCAAGGTTCGATGCGTCACTTTTGCAATGTTGACCTTGCGCGACGTCATTTATGAAGTTATAAGGGTCATATAAGTTTGTCGTCAATAACTACCGATCAAATTGAGCTAGCGAGTCGGGGAAGCCATCAATGGACTCAGGAAGACCTGCCGAATCGAATGATATGCGACATGACCTCCTTCGACCAATTTCGTGACCTGGGGGCGCTGACCTGACCGTGACCCGTGGTCAACACCCTCAGTTTACCTCACCCAAACAAAAAGTACATCATTCGACGCGCCTGAGAGAGGCGAACACGATGCTAGCAAAATCGCGGCTCTGCGGCCGTTTTTTGCGAAGTTATTCAACAAAAACGGAACCGTGCCTTGAGGTACTTGACCTGACCTCAGAGGTCACCGGTTGACCAAGAACCTTAAAATCGGGTATCGATCTCTGCGTCTTGTAACGGCGCACACGCTCGTTTTTCCGCGACGCGCTAGCTCAACCTGGGGCGCAACGGCGAGGGGGGTCGTACCCGGTCCCGCCCCCGGCCCCTCGGCCGGCGCGTATGTAGAAAACCTATAGGTCCGGTCCGGCGAGGGTTAAACTGGCCTCTGATGGCCCAGACCGACCTCTAAAAGTCCCACACCGGCCTCTGATAGTCAATCAGCCCAGTTGCAGTGGTCGCTGATATAAAACCTCTTAAAAACGTTATAGGTCTGGCTGAGCCTAGCTGGGCCGTTCATGCTGATTTTTATAGGTATATTGAAAAGACTCGCTTTGCACGTTTCACGCTTGCTCGAGTCGTAATGAAAAGTTGCTGGATGCCTCTGGAATTTGCATGGGTGCCAAAGGCTGCGGAGGACAGGGGAACGCGTCCATCAGTTTGAGTTTATGGACGAGAGTCTCCCTGAAATTTTAACAAATTCTGTTTTTGTTTTTGTCTCGATTTTTTTTTTTATCTCTGATCATGTTTGCGAAAACAAAGTGGCCGAAATCCGAGGAGAAATCGGATTTTGGGGGTAGGTTAGGTTTTGGACCTCTGGGACCTTGGCCCCCCCACTTTCGAAAACGTTCCTACGCCTATGGACCGGTGCCACCAGTGAACACTGCCCCGCATTGCCGCCACTGTATTTATGTGCCTAAATAATGTCGATGGTTGTCGACTGCGTCTGTTCACCGATCATTCAGCGGCCCAGTGATCGGTTAACCCTATTAGTGGCAGGCTCCTGGCTACCCCTATCAGTGGCAGGGGGGGGCTGTTTACGACCCCCCCCCCCTTGATATCTCGAGATCTAACGGGCCGATTTTCAAAATTCAAACGGCATTCGATTTCGCTCAACGAGATCTACATTTCTAAAAAAATAAAATTAAGAAATGTCAATAGGGGGGTAGAGGGGGGTAAAAACGGGCAAATTGCAGATACATTTTAGACTGTTTATTACGGCCAGGTTTCTGAACCAATCTTAACGCAACTTTTGCCGATCGATAGAGAATGAACCAGGAATTCACGTGGATCCTAAAAATATGCATTTTCAAAAATCATAGGCGGATACAGATCATTGAGATTGGGGGTACACAAAAAGTATAGTAAATAAGGTTTTTGTTGGTACTGTTTCTAAAAAGGGTGGCAATGGTCTTGTTAGGTATGTTAGGGGAGAGCGGGGCCAGTTGAACCACTTTTTATATGTTGACATGCACAGCGAGATCTAGTTGTCATATCGAAAAATGCACAATGCCATGAAAAAATATGCTCTTTTGGCTTTATTTTAAGATATGTTAAATTATGTTTCAAACATATTTTGCTGCCAAACGCATGCTTATAAAACAGCTCTACGCCCGTTTCAAATGACCCCGATGCGAGGGTCAATTGAACCAGCCCATGGGGTCAATTGCACCTATCCTTAACAATGGGATGTTTTCCTCTTTAAGGCCACTTTCTTAAGGAGATATTTTGTCCGGTTTACTTTTCCAAATGCTACATTCAATAGGTCGTTGGAAAGCTAAAAGTGCAAAGTTCCTCATAATAGGTGACATAAAGTACATAGACTATGGTAAAATGGGCGGATGAGAAAAATGAGAAACATCTCAGGCTATAGTGTGCTTTCAAGCAAAAGGCTGGAGAGAAAGGGGTCAAAAATTGAGCTCTATTAAACTACTATTTCAGTTTAAAAGCTCATTTCAAAGGTGGACTATTTCCTTTAATGTTTACAGCCCCTGAACAATAACCATTGCAAAGGTCACCGGGGTCCATTGAAACGGCCTGTGGCCCTGTTTCAACTGACCCTCAGAAAAGCGTTTCAATTGACCCCATCCGCTCCCGCCATCTCGCACGCGCCGTAAAGCACATGTCAAACGAGCTGGAGGGACGGCATCATGCTGAATGAAGGGCCAAATAAGGTGTTATTCCGGAGCCAGGAGTTCTTCTTTCAGCAAACAAAGGTATATGAGATATCACAAAATATTCATCAGAACGATTTCTCCCAAACGCCCCTCAAAAACACAAAAACAAGTGTCAAATCAAAATTACCGTCCGTTTGCCGCCCAAACGCCGTTGACAAATGAAGTGGTCGAGCGCGGATGTGCAGTGGTGTCGGCAACGCCATATGTTGCATACTGTTGAAAATTAAGCCATGTTTTATCTGACCCCGTGTTTCAACTGGCCCCGCTCTCCCCTACAATTTTCTTATGAGAGAACGACTAAAATTGTATTGGTCATGCATAGGCGGTGTCAGGGCACCTATGTTGGGAGGTAAAAAATAACCCCCTTTTTTGGACGCCTGGATCCGCCTATTATAGCAAAAACGTGTCAAAAGAGGATGCACAATAACTTTGTATATGTTATCACATGATACCTTTCATTCACTGTTCGTAAAACTGGTGCAGCATCGTGATCTTCGCCCAAATGACTCGCTTCACGAATAGGACTCCCCAATTTCCAGTGCTCTGGAGCCGCCCCTGGTAAAGTTATGAACTTGAAATTTTCAGGGAATGTGCCCAATTTAGTTTTAAGAAAATTCAGAAAATTTCAGCATCGTAGGTTCAGCTGTTTCGGAGATATTCCCGAAAAACCTGAGTGGTGGATAAAAACACCCCCCCCCCTGCCACTAATAGGGTTAATGTAAGCGGTCAGTGATCGGGTCGGGTCACTACCCTGTCAATGACCTGGTCGCTATCCTGGTCGGTGACCTGTTTACACATATGTATTCATAATCGTCATTCACAGCTAAAATCTCGCTGGCCGAGAATCGTTTTGGAAAACCAGAGCAGCACCGATCGAGCTCATTTTGTCGTTGACGACCACCGGAGTCACACGGTCTCCCTGCGTCTGACTCGGCGGGTGGAATCTCCGCGTCGGCCGGTGGCTGGGACGTCGGCAGGCGATAGCCCGCTCCAGCAGCAGCAGCAGCAGTCCGAGGATACATCCGAGGGGCGCCACCATCAGCACGGCCTGTGTGTCTCCGGCCGACATCGGCAGACCCTCGGTCCAGTGGGCGGCGCAGCTGACCCGGGAGTCGGCGAACCAGAACTGGTACAGGTGCCGCAGCACGCCCGTCTCACGGAGCCGCAGCAGCCTGCCGACGAGAGGAGAAGTGAATGGTCGGGTCAGAGAGCACCGAGGCATTCGTAAAGTAAAGCGGGGAACTCACTCAGACAGAACACTCATGACTGACGGGACGCTCACGAGCTCAAGTGAGGACTGTCACGAGCGCCTCAGACACTAATTCAGCTATATTCACATCCCACCCGTCTATTGGATAGTGAATACGGTCACTCTCAGACACTCTCAGACACCCTCAGACACTCACCACCTCCCGGCTCCCGCGGCCACTCACGCGGCGTTGGCCCTCTGTCGGAGCGTGCCGAGCCGTTTCCGCAGCACGATGTAGTTGTTGGTGACCGAGGGGCGCTGCTGCTCCAGAGGCTGCAGCACGCACGCGTCCGCCCCAGTGGCGATAAAGTAGTGGCGCAGGTCGTAGTAGCAGAGCACGCGCGGTCGCAGACACTGCCGGTGCGACTCCTCGCTGCCGTCAATATCCAGGAACTGGTCGCCTGCCTCTCGCATCTGGTACAGGTGCCGCTCGCTCGGGTTGTCGCTCTTCTGAAACGGCCGTCGGGTTGGAAAGGAGGAGTCAGCATCTATACTACTTCTTTTGAAAATTTGGTTGGTTTCTTTTTTACGATCCTGTATCGATTCGTTGGTTAGAATTTGCGACATTTCAGTCGAAATAGCCATGTCAATGTCTGATTACCGGATCTTAAGTAGTGCTGGCTTCTGTCGTAATGTGTTGGGATAAGAAATCGTATAGATATTACCATCCGGCATATCTCTGATGATGAACGTTCAATCATTCTTCGCTGACCTTCCACACATCGAACGCCGGCGCTTCTTTCCAGGTGGAGAACTTCCAGTCGGTTCTACGAGCGAAGTCGTCCAAGCACGTGAGGGGCTTGGGGTGGTCCCTCACAGTCAATGAGGAGATCAGGTTGGCCGTGTACAGAAACGTCACCATCAGACCTGAGTGCAGGACAACAGGAAAATGACATGCGCCTCGCAAAATATAAAACGAGAATATCGTCCGACACTCCCAAGCTGGAGAAAAGCAGTCACAATTAGGTAGTCATATTTCACGAAATTGTGGCACAAATTGTGGCAATGTGCTTAATTTCCAAGACAACATCAATCTTCTTCAACGAGACAACACCGACTTTGCTAAATTAACAATCGGTAAAGCTCAGCCGCAAGAGTTTTGTGCACATTCCCGCCAAAATGACTCAGCATGTGACAGATACGACTCGAGACTTCTTCTCGACATAACTGACCGAGAAAGCGTGCGGTGATTGCCACCGTGCGCGCTGCCAGCGAGTCGGGCGCCACCGACCACCCCTGTCCGGTGAGCGCCATAAATGTAGCGAGCTGACAGTCGGCCAGTCCGAACTGACGCACAGTGGTCCTGCTCTCGGCCGAGGAGTGGTTATAGTGGATCGTGAACCAGAGAAGAGCAGCCGTGACCAGCAGTGTGAACACTGAAAGAAGACGGAACACAGGTCAACGAACACAGATGGAGAGACTGATGCGTCGGGATGATAGGTAGCAGCACATCGGAAAAAGAGTGGAGACGTGAAATGAGTGAGACTGAGATTCAAATCACCATAATTGCATGAATTAATTAGCAACATACACTGGCAGCGCCGCTAAGCGAGACGAAAGGACGCATCACGTTAGCCCTAGAACGCCTAGGGGGGGGGGGGGTTGTATCAACCCCCCCCCCTGAGGTTTTTTCGAAGTGCACGCTAAACGGCTTGTCGTAGCGGGCTGAAATTTTCAATACCCTCTGGGGCAACCTTTGCGCATCTTTTGCCGAAAAAAATTGATCGGGTCATGTCAGGTCACGGAGTTATGACGTCATAAGAGGTACAGCCTCCGGCCGACAGTTACCAAACGTGTGCGCCGAATCCCTAGGTTTTCTGCCGGTGATACCCACATTGTTTGATGGATCATGATGAAACTTCCCATGCATGTTGGGGCAAGCATTGGCTATCGTGTGGTGCAAGAAAATTGACCGGGTCAGGTCAGGTCACGGAGCTATGACGTCACAAGAGGAACAGCGTCCGGTACTATTTTTGAAAAGCGCCCGAACCACTATTTTGCTAATTCTTGTCACCTCAATGGGAATATGCAGCAATATTAGCTTCTATAGGGAGCAAATGGACCTCCCAAATCCAAAAATACAGTCAGATTTCAAAAATTTAAATTTTGATTTTTCGAATTTCTGCCGCCGACTGTGACCTTGCCGACTTCCGGCGCTCCCAACGCGCCATTTTTAGAGCTAGGGAAACGAAATACATACCAAACGATAGAGAATTGATCAAGGAACACGATAGTGAAGATTTCAAGTAGATATCTCCCACCGTTTTGCCGCAATCGCCGCAGAAAGTTGAAAAAGTTTGATTTCTTCGGAAAATTTGACCTTTGACCGGTCATAAGTAGGTCAAATGTTGACCTAGGACCAAAAAAATATACCACCAATCATGAGATCTCGTTGAGAGCAATCCGTTGGTTTTTTCCGCTAAGCTCTACGACCTTCCGTTTCGAAACGCCAGGGGGGGGGGGTCGTAACAACCCCCCCCCTGGTCGTTCGTGTTATGAGAATTGGCCTGGTCGTGCGAGGGTTAAAATATTGCAGGCCCTAAATAAACGTGCAGGAGTCATGACTAATCAAAACGTATTCATGAGAAATAAAGACCGGGACAGTGATGTTGAGCTCTTGAAATTGACAACTTATGAAGCCATTTGAGATCTCACAAACTGTAAACACTGGGAAACACTAGGAAGTTATTTCGAGCTCATCAACCCGCTGAATGACATTCCACAAACACTCACGGAGAACGACCCACGATGCAGTGTGCAGCGGTTTCAGCAGTGACGCGAACGAGGCCCACTCGACCGAGACTGCCTTGCTGTCCTCGGCCAGGTAGAAGGCGTACTCGGTCTGTTCCACGGGCGCGGCGTCCAGGAAGTCGAGCACCTCGCCGCGGCCGGGCGCGTGCATGAACCACGAGAGGAGCACGTCCGCCCGCTGACCGGAGAGGCAATTGTGAGTGGACGATATTGATAGTTATTTACAATTATTTACAATATATATCATCACAAACACTATCAGGCATTTGCTAAAAAGAAATAAAAAGTTTGTTTTTATCAAAAGGAGCCGGGTTCCGCCTAAATTAGGCCAAATGAAAGCAAAAAACTGCCAGCTTCAACAAAATGACTCGATTCTTTTGAACGGCACAACGATGTAAATATGCTATTTGCTAAAAAGCGTTATAATGGAATCCGTTTTACATTCACAAGTTCTGCAGAACATTTCAATGCATAGTTTTTGCTAAAACGAGAAATTCAGTCCTTTTTGTTATAAAACTGAACGTTTTTTACCTCAGCTGTCAATGAGTTTTGCCTCCGACTGCCGACTGCCGAATAAACAATAAACCATACGGCAAGTGTGACACACAGCCTGCATGACACAGGTAACCCATTCACAGCTGGTCTCACGTTATTGGCGGCCTGTCCGATGAGGCCAGTCCAGCTGCCGTTCTCCAGGCGCGTGCCGTAGTCGGAGCTGTTGAACGAGCTCAGCTGGTACCGCAGCCCCAGGCGGTCCGAGATCAGGCGCCAGATGTCACACAGGTAGCCCGAGATGCTGACCCCGTCGGAGCCAACGATGAAGAACGGGGGGTTCTGGAGGAGGGGTGAGCGGAAATGACGTGAGAGATAGAGAGAGAGAGAGAGAGAGAGAGAGAGAGAGAGAGAGAGAGAGAGAGAGAGAGAGAGAGAGAGAGGGAGAGAGAGAGAGAGAGAGAGAGAGAGAGAGAGAGAGAGAGAGAGAGAGAGAGAGAGAGAGAGAGAGAGAGAGAGAGAGAGAGAGAGATGATTGCGGATTTCGCCACGTTTGTCGATTTGTAGGCGGGGTCATTTTTTAGGAAGCCTGGGCATTTGCAAACAGCGAACTATATGGCGTGCCTGTGAAATTCAGTGAGGCAATACAGCTGTAGCTGGTCGTATTTTCTTACAGTCGGTGCAATTGATGAAATTTGACAATGGAATGTGACTAGGGGGTAAGGATTGTCATGTGATCACGGAACCGAAGGACGCAAATGATCGCCTTACTTACGTGTATTCCCGTTACACGAAGCACCGCGCTGGCATCCTCCGAGTCGGGCGCCGTCCAGTTGATGCTCAGAAGGCGTGCCATGACATCGGTCTGTGCTGTGCTCTCAAACACTCAGAGCAAAGAACACCACTGCCCTGCACTGTGGAACCCCGAGCTACGGCCGGTCTCCCGCAACCGTAACTACCGACGGGTTCTGACGAGCCACCGCTCATATACCGACAGACGAACCGATCTGACCAATTAGAGAAGCCATCGATCGCCTGATGTGTTACATTGTTTTCCGGCATTGCTACTATGAGTTACATGCCACTTCCATTATCCGTAATGGAAAATCAAGCCGGCTACCTATTGTGCTCTTTTTGTATGCTGCGGTCGTCGCGCGCTATGCTGTGCCGCAGTACACTGTAATGCGGTGCAGCATCAAACAGGCGCACACGCTGCCTGCCATCTAGCGGGAAAGTTTGAAACATACTTACTCTTGCAGCATGGATCAGATGTGGGCTAAACCACTAAAAGAAATCGCGAACAGAGCACTCACATTCCGTCGGTCAGCGAGGGCCAGGTTTGAAGGAGGTACTGCATGTCGGTCCGTACTCTGTAGCAACTGAAACTAAAAGTAAGACGCATTTTAAATTATTTGCCAAATAAATGCCCATTTTGTATATTTACTATCGATGCGTTCACCCTCTGCGGACCCTTCCGCAACAATCGGCGAACACCCAACTCCCCAATGCAGACCGATCGGATTCACTGATATCGTCGATCGGTGTGTGTGCTACAACCCAGACTTTCACGACACGTCGGACAGCAATTATCCCCATAGAGACCACTGAGACCTAATCATTTCAGCCAGTCAGGAGGCTGAATAAAGAAATTACCAGGAGAGCTAGTTAGCCAAGGATTCTGGATTGTTTACGGTAATTACAGTAGGCAGATTAATTATTTCCAATGTCAGAACTCAGAGAGCTGCAAGCAAACGTTTTTTTTTTTTGTGCGACGGCTAACCTAACCACGCATTATCGCTCCGTCGTTAGTCCGATGTGGCACTTATTAGGTATGTATGCAATGCATAAGAAGCGTTTTATATAATAAGGTAGTGTGTCGGACTATTACGTAGTCTACCACTTTGAGATGTTTGTTGCCATGGCAGTGGCATAATATAATTCCCATAAAAAGTGCAGCATATTTTCTTTTGTGTGCTCTCTTTGTAACAATTGTGCCACTCTATGACCAAAAAATAGTGATAAAAAGTGTTGCATTTGGCTCAGACTTGTAGCAATCGATCCTAGCCAAATTCCCATTGGACGCACTCACTACCTATGGGGCTTAAAAACAGCGGCCGGGTGTCACCTCATACCGCGTGATGGGTGTTCCGCTGGCCCACTTTCCACAGCTGTCCCATAATTAAAACGAATTTTACCTCCCCCTCATACACACACGCGTATACGTGACATCCGGCCACGTCCCTGGCATTCACACAAAACAGGTAATTGGGCCTATTATAAACGTTTTACCCGCCGACCATATTGACACAAATGGATGCCGTGGGATTGGGAACTGAGACATTAAACATGCTGTTAATTTGAATGGGCTTATTTTAGCGCATATGCTTGACACAAATAGCTACTTCAACTGACCACCTCTTGCGTAGAACAAACGGTCATTTTGTCGGAAAGGTTAGCGTTAGCTGCCCGCATTTCCCGGCATTGGTTCTTGGAAAGGTAACGTAAAACGGAATGTATAGAACTATGCAAAGCACACGAATTACTCTATACCTATTGGAGAGCGTCGCTGCTTGTGGACGCCACAAATCGATCGATGCATCAAAAACTTATCAGCCTAAACGTCATGAACAATGACTCTTCGCCACTGCTCACTCATCTGCATCTTCAAACTGCATCTGCTCACTTATGCAACCAAAGTTCGCTTGCCTAATAACTATTCTGAGGGAGGATGATGATGTAACTCAATTATGTTTCAAATTTTATCTTTTTAATCGTCTTCCACTTTCAGCCAGCCTTACGATCAATTCAGTCATCCTACACATTTGCCAATGGCTCTCTGCACTTTCTTTGAACCTAGGGCGGAGCTGATCACAGCAGATGTGAACAATATTTCGGTTCGTGTGAGAGATCACCCCATCGATCCATTCAGCTTTAACGGCACTGCAGCGTGATGACACCCGAACGAGAAGCGGGCTCCTCTAATCGGTGTGTCTGTGAGCCCCATGGTCTCGGCAGAGTTTTATCGCTTCAATTGCATTTCTTCGTTATACGAATTTATTAGATTTATATTTTTCACCACAGCAAATAGAACCAATGCAGCACATCATCAATGTCATCGCTTCGCACCATAGGCATCAACTCACACGCCTAATCAGTGAATGCAAACATTACGTCATTACTATCATTGAGTGCTATTTTAAACCCACATTTTACATGTATCTAGGTCACGCATACTCCGTAAACTCCTGGACCACCGCCGGCGGCTCCACTGATGAGCCGCTGATGGGCCTCCCATCTGTCCGTATCCGCCAGCGCCGCCTACCGGACCGACGCTGCGCCTCTTCCAGCCGGACCACCCTGAGGGAGGTGCGGCTGAGGCTCAGACAGACAGACAGCTCATTCACAGCCATGGCGCCGCGCTGGTGCCACCGTCCGTCCGCGGCGCTGGGATCGTTAGTGCTGGTGGTGGTGGTGGTGGTGGTGTTTGGTCGGTCGATTCAGGCCACTCCAGTGCTGCTCTCAGATGCTAGTCATCACAGCGGCGCGTTCGATCTTTATAACGACAAAGACCGACGGAGTACCTACAATGGGTTCAAGAACTACAACGACATGGACCGACAGAGTACTTACAATTCGCTTGAGAGCTATCCTGGCATAGAACGACGGAACACCTACAATGATGTCGAAAATTATCCGGACATCGACCAACGAAGCAGCTATAACACATTTGAGAACTACATCGCATACCCTCCGTACAGCGCTTCCAGTAACTACAACCCGTCCAGCAGTTACAGCTCATCCAGCAGCTACAGCCCTTCCTACAGCTTCAACACTCCGTCCAACTCGTATGGCCCGCCGCGCGCCGCGGCTGCCTGGGCTGGCTGGGGCGGCTGGGCCGGGTCCTTCGGCGGCTCCGGGGGCTACTCCGGAAACTCCGGGGGCTACTCTGGAAACTCCGGGGGTTACTCCGGTGTCACCCGGCACCACGTGCTGCGGCTGGAGCCCCGCTGCGACTGCGCCCCGATCGACCTTCTGGCGCTGCTCTCCGGCGGCACGGCCCTCTGCGCACTCGGAATATTCTGCATCCTACAGGCTACCGGTGGGTTCAGTTTCAGCACCGGTAACAACGTCTCCATCGGAACCCGACAGCTGCTGGAGGGCTGGCAGCTGCCGGACGGCTGGCAGCGGTTTGATACCTGGCAGCTGCCGGAGCGAGAGCAGCTGCCGGGCCGGCTGGAGTGGCTCCGGCGGCAGCTGGCCAGCTGGCTGCTGCCGGCGATAGAGCAGCTGTCCGACCGGCTGCTGCAGCTGCCGGAGCAGCAGCTGGCGGACAGGGTGACCGCCGTGACCTGCAGGATGGCCGGGCAGCTGGAAACGGAACACCCGGGACGATCGGTGAGTTTGCAGGGTGGACGGCCGAGACAGGTGGCACTGGTTTTGCTGTAGGTAATGAAATATGTTAACGTGCTACGTTTTTTCAACTGATTTTATGTAGGCATGCCAAGTTCTCCTTGAGAATGGCCCGAGATCAATTCCATTGTTATGAGCTAAAACTCATTTTAACGCATCGTGTTGTTTTCCGTAAGCTCATGACAAAGGATGTCCAATGAAATAAAATATCCTACCTATGTTATTTTAGACGAAATGGATACTTTTGAATTCTAGAGACACATTATGCATTCTGCTTATGTGCTCGGTAATCAGCATATGAAAATGGCACTAATCCGTCTGCCGGGTCTGTCTGCCAGGGCCGGTGCACCTGCTACTCGGGACTACTGGGAGCTCTCACTGGGTTCGCCTCCCTGGGCGGTCTCATCGTGTACGCGCTCCAGCTGGCCAGCGCGGCGCTGACCTCCAGCGGGGGCAGCGGCCGGGCGCAGGTCACCGCCGGGTCAGCTGACAGAGGGGCGGGGGAGGCACTCAGTTCTCTGCTCAGACTGCTCACAGTCACTGGATACGGGGCAGATCTGAAGGAAGACGGCAGAAGTGGCAGTAGGAGTGCGGAGAGCTTCAGGAAAACGTGGCTGGACGGAACAGGTAAGGTTTTCGGGGTGGGCGGTGTCATCATAGGTGCACTTTATCACTGCGTGAGCAACGTTTCAGCAATGAGATGTGTAGATTTGTTGCAGCGTTTCACGCATAATGCAGCAACACACCCACATTTGCCTTTGCGCTATCCAACGTAAACGTAAACGAGGATCCTATAGCGCTCCTGCGAGACGCAAATGGAATGATGGCATCTGTAGTGTGTACGCATAAACGCACTGTCTGCAGCTCAGCGCCATGTAATGCCTGTGTTTACTGCAGTTATTTATCCCTCGTCTGACATCTGCTGTGCTGTAAACATATCGTTCATGTCCATCACGTGCCGTCAGTGCCTCCCATTTCCGTGTATCATCTGCCGCCGCCGACGTCCCGTCTCCCTCCCACTGCCCTCCCGTCTCCCTCCCACCGTCCTCCCGTCCCGTTCCCGACAGCTACCGGGCGGTCATCCCAGCCGGCGGTCTCGACCCGCTAATGACCACTCTGTTTGACCGGTGGCATCTGTAGCCGCCGGCCGGGAGGCGGCTGGCAGTGGGCCTGAGACCGCCCCCGAGACGGCCAGTGGACAGACCTGATCAAATGAGCCGTCAGCCTGGCAGGACGGAGTGCGGGAACTGACTATCAATAGGACTCGGGACTGGAGTGGGACGATACGGACGGAAATGGCAGGGATGGGCCAGACCAAGCCGAGCCGTACCGATAGTTCTTTCAGCACAGCGTGCCCATCCGCGCCCGGTGGCATATGGTCGATTATTCGTGTCTCCGTTCGGTTTAATTCCCCGCGATCCATTTCCCGCGGGCGTGAAGGTGTCAAACATCTGGACTGTGTAAACGCTCTGCTTGGGAAACAACGCCATTATAATTGTGACTGGAACGCTTAGCTGTGATAGAGTGACTATGACTAGAAAATAACATATCTTTTTGCAGTTGTGACCTTTATGGAAATTACCGAATGATTTGTCAAAAACTTGGAGAGAATTTTAACACTTCTCAGCTTTGGAGAGCAATTTCAGTAGGTCCACCTTCTTACATCACGTCTTTTTGTGTCCCCAGGTTGGGAGTATCCTGGCGCCCTCCCAGGGTCACTGGATCGAGCTGACCTGCCCTGTGTGCCGTACCAGCTGTGTGACATCAACCGGCAGGCTGCGGGCTTTGGACCGACCCGGCTGACCGTCACACGGCTGGCAAGGTCAGTAGAGGTGGCCCTGAGGTCAAAGGTTATTTCAAACGGATGGTTAGGTCGGTTGAGTAAATCCTGAGCTGAGGTCACAGCCGTGGTTACCCTGATGGTCGATGGTGGTGAGGTAGTACGAGTAAATAAACTAGCTGGAAGATCGAAATAACAGCCTTCGTGGTGAGCCGTGTAGTGCTTGCTTGCCGTCGTCGTTGCATTACTTTGGTCAGCTTTAGCTAAGTGGCTGCCATAGCTATTCGTTGTTTGATGTTGCTATGCATGTTTTCTCCACATATGTATTGTAGTTCAGAGCGCCACATGCAGTAACTCGTGTGTGCCGTATGTCCCGCAGCCTGCCAGTTTCATGGCTCCTCAGTCGCTCGGGCCATGCGGAACTATCGTTTGGACGGCTCTGCTCAGCTCTACAAGGGTCCTCAGAAAACCTCTGCCACAGCCGCTATCCACAATGTGACATCACACCTGCTGGACCATAGCTACGGGATATTTGGTACGACGTCATAATTGTACAACACTGTTGTTTTTCTGTCGGCCTGCAGAATCATCAGGCTACCGTTCGGGCATTGCAGAAACGGAGCATCAGCGATGTGTATGTGTTGAGATTGTTGTCCCTTCCTGGTGGAAACTTCACGTCTGTGAGTTTTTATTTAGTCTCGGGAGTATGATCTATGTTGACATTTTACGGCAGGTAACTACATTATTATTTATTTCTGCTGTTTATATCGATATTTTTAGTATAGCAATGTTCATAAGTATGCGTGTGTGCACATGCCCTATTTTTTGCGCTTGATCAAGAAGCGTTAATGTGTTTGTAGTGTATTGAATAGGGGAAGTTGGGGCAATGCCGGAGTTGGGGCAAAGCCGAAATTCGAGATATTTCGAAAACCGTACGACATGGATGCCAACTGTCAGTGATGCTCTGAAGCTGAAGTGACTACAATTATCACATGTTTGTTACGAGTCGTCATTCGGAATACTTCGGCTGTGATGGCGCCAAGAGCGTTTTCAAGGTACGTTTCCCTTGTACTACATGCGCCTTTGAAGCTGCATTTCTTGCTCATTATGCTTCCGTTTGTCTGGCCAATTCGGTCAAGTTATCTTCAGCATGTCTTTGCATAAGTGTGCTGCCTATTTGAAATTTATACAGCACGTTGAAAAGTTATGGGCCTGCAAAAGAAAGTATGACTGGCTGGGGGTAATGCCGAAAACGTGCGATTACGCACGTTAAAGCACGCTACGTGGACGTTACTGCCGTAGAATAGCAACGCGTATTTTTAGTCACACAAATTACACTTTCAACCGACACAACGGCCTGTTACCTATAAGGAATGATTTACTTGGCATTTTCTTATTATATCACACAATTATAGCTTACAGTGTGCACCAAGCGTCCTCAAGCTCTTAAAACGCGTGTCAGCTTTGATGAATTCTGGATAAAGTTTTAGATAAAATGGCAAAACCTCAATGTCGGCATTCCCCGTAGATCATTTCTCCCATTTTCGGCTTTCCCCGCAGTCCGGGGCAACGCCGAAAAAGTCACTTCTTTGATATTTTTAGTTTGTACGCTAAACGGTATGCGAATTCATCAAATGCGCCTGGTATGTTCGAAAGGCAAAAGACTGGCCTCTCGAATGACGCCAACAAGAATAGCTTATGTTGTCTACCTTGCGTGCTACGGGAGTCAGAAAAAAAGTATTCGGCGCTCCCCCAACTTCCCCTATTGATCAAGCCAACATATCAAGCCGGTTCGGAATCTTTTATATCTCTTGACACTCCTTGAGCGTAGAATATGGGCATTATTGACTCCTGAGCCACATGGCGAACATCAACATTGAATGATTGATGTTGCGTTATGGTAAACGAAACATGTTGCATAGGTTTGCATTGCTTTAGTTTTGTGTATATTATTATTGTTAAGTGGTTAAAAAGCATGGTTTTATTAACAATAAAATATTTTTTCCACTTGTGGAATACAGATCATGTTCTGGCGGAGGCCCTATTTAGCCCTTAGTATTCCGAAGCTGAGAGGCAAATGCCTCTAAATAATTTTAATCGGCAGCATTGTAATTGTATCTAATATTTTGCCGTAAATGTGAAGCTTTTCGTGCAATTAAAACGATGTTGCAAACAAAGCGAAGACCATGCTAACTATAACACCTTAAACGTGTACCTTTTAGTCCATTATCAAACAGTTTCTGCCGAGCTGATTGGATATTGCCCGGTGCTGACAGGTCGCCGGACAGGGCCGGTGCCCGGTGGGGAGTCCCGTCCCGACCTCCGAGACTAATGAACTATCACTGTACCGGGCAGCTGGGAGAGGATCGGAGACGGACGGGTGCCTAAATTTCTTTTCTTTATTTACTCTAAGACGAATAAATACAGCTTCATAAAAGTTTATTGACCAGTATAGCGCCTTTTGGGGCGACTAACGGAGCGAGCGAGGGGGTGAGTCTTGCACGTGCGAAATTTCGAGGGGATACCTCCAACTGACTTGTGCACGGCACCCTACTGACCGGTTTCTAGCGATGTGCCAAATTTGAGCACAATCGGCCCAGCCGTTCTCGAGATCTGGGAGCGGCACCCTGCACGTGCGCACGTGCAAAATGGGTCCCAACTGACTTGTGCACGGCACCCTACTAACTGGTCCCTAACTGTGTACCAAATTTGAGCGCCATCGGTCCAGCCGTTCTCGAGATCTGGAAACGACCCCTGCACGTGCGCACGTGCAGCAGCACCCCAACTCTGGCACATGGATATGCAGTGCCTAGTGGGTGCCTACCTACATGCCAACTTTCAGCGCAATCGGCCAAGTAGTTACCGAGATATTGTAACAATTACAAAAGTGACACCTCTTCGTTTTGCACGTGGCACGTGCATAAGGGGTCACCCACATGCATCGGGAATAGTCCAATACTTGGTAGAAGGAATGAAGCTACCCTACAAAAATTACCGCATGTAAATCGGTCAAGTGGTTGCTGAGATATAAGCCTCGCAAAAGCGTCCGCACGGCCGGCCGGCCGGCCGGCCGCTCATACTCAGAAATTTCCGTTAATCTAAGGAAAGACTCCGCTCGCTTCGCTCGCTCCGTGACTAGGTCCGTCAGAGTTACCGGTGTATTCAAAATCCCATCAGCATTCTGACAGGTCTGATGGGGCTAGTCTGAGGCGTCTACATGGACTTTGGACTTTGGTCTACATGGACTTTGTACGCTTACCTCCAGAGCAGCATTTTAAGCAGCTACGTTTCATTTTTATCACTGACACGATTCCATGGCCTCCATTTTTTTACACGTATGATTCGTTTTATTGGAACTCATTGAAATCCCTATGTTTATTCTTTGGGTGTAGGTTCGGCTTATGATTCTTTTTTTTTGGCAGTTCGCATATGAGATAATTGGTATTCATTTCTAATTTCTATGTAGAAGCATTGTAGGTATGATGAAGGGTTGCCTAGTGGCAAGCGTGGCAAAAAGGCCTTCATTAGGAGCACGCTCAGTAATGAACGGTGGAACGCAAGGTCAAAGAGCACATTGTTTGGGGCTTAGGTACCTATTCCATTTCAATGCGTTTAGTCGCAAAGGCAATGTAGAAAAGGCATTTTAGCCTCATGTGTTAAAAAATCATGATACATGACGCCAACTAGCTTGACAGCCTTTTACCCTGCCAAACATATTAAACGCTGCACACGGTCGCCAATCGCCAACCCATGGCCAACCCATTTACAATCGGAGGACGAAGTGAGCGAGACGCTGAGCAGGGAGCTGGACCTACTGGCAGAGGCAGTACCAGAAAGCTTTAGTTCTCTTTCCTGTCGATAGGTGACAGGCTAGGTAGAAACCGTCCAAGCATGCAGAGGAACGGAGGGTCAGCGGGGGCCGGCGGCATTTTGCGATGAGTAGGTAGTTACGTGGTTAAGGAAACGTTTTTAATTAGTACGGATTTTTTACGTTATCTGGAGAAAACCATGATTTCAAAATCACGCGGCTCACCTACCATTATAGAAAATCGATCCAAATTAGCAATCCACAGCATTATTCCATCAATTAATTAATTCCGTTTAATTACAGGTGCTCTTGAAATCCATTATCCATCCTTGGCTATAATCTCTGTCAAATGATATTGCACCATGCAGATGGTCCCATGATTGGTTATGTTCGATGACTCATTAAGCTGACCATTTGGTGGCTGGATCTTACCATTTTAAAACAAGATGAAGCATTTTCCGATGAAATAAAGCTCCAATCATTGCATCCTCTGATTAGTGATTTTGTAATAAATTTGTGAATGTCCCCAGTGAACTGACCTTGAGAGAGAGAGAGAGAGAGAGAGAGAGAAGAGAGAGAGAGAGAGAGAGAGAGAGAGAGAGAGAGGGGAGAGAGAGAGAGAGAGAGAGAGAGAGAGAGAGAGAGAGCGAGAGAGAGAGAGAGAAGAGAGAGAAGAGAGAGAAGAGAGGGAGAGAGAGAGAGAGAGAGAGAGGGAGAGAA